TGTCTTTCTTTTGCCATAAAAAGAAAGCACAAGGCTGAGTGAGACATTTCCTCGTGGTTTAGAGATTTGATCAGATTTGGCCAGTACGATTGATTGATTGATTGATTTCATACAGGGCGAAGGAATAAACGACTTTTCACCCAGCACATAATGAATTCAAAATATCAAAACTTCAATTGATCATGGGAAAAATATCCAAACCTGTGAACAATTGATAATCATTTCATTCATTTATTCGTTCAATCGTCATCAGAGAATACCCAAGATTCAAGATACAGACAAAACAGCCTGACTAACTAGCGTGCTCTAAAATTATGGTTCCTCTCAACAATATTCCCTCCCCTCTTGCGCCCTCCTTACCTAGTATTCTTACAAATAGGAATGTGACTGTATTTTCTCCATGCACTCGCCACATCCGCCGATATAATAGTTTTGTGCACTTGATCAAGGATATTTATACTTTAGTGGATTGCTTTTCAGGAAGTATCCAGCCATCAGTGGATAAGGTTCGTCGACAGACCCTTCAAGCGGCACCACAAGAATGATTGGCTCCACTGGCTATATGATATCACAAACATACTAAATATCGGGACATCCTAGCAAAAACGTGGCAAGAAAACGTGGGAGTCCACTATTGATGCCCGTTCAAGGCGTTTTCCTCTCGATATTTCACAAATCCATATCAACCAATAATGGTTTCCAATTTCTATTCGCTACAATCCTCGAACCGAATTCTTTCTTCTGCTTATGTCACAATTTCATGAATCGACTCAACTGGACCCTACAAAGAGTGTGGGTATTCCCCTCTTTCGTTCCCCTTACTAGTTTGAAAACGAATCCATGAACCCACGAACACAACAAGAAGATAAATTATGCGCATCAAAATGCTGCTACAGGATATGCGAGAAGGCAAGAAGAGTTAGGATCGGCGGGCAGGCGGGCGGGCTATGATTGTCAACGGAGTCTGTGCAACATTCATTTATGCGTATTGGATGTTAGCCCGCTCGACGGAGTGCCTCCTCCAAAGTACGAGATCGGAGAAGGATAAAAGGAGAGATTATTTCGTACAGCTATATGAACCAGGGGATCTCTCAATGCCGTTGACATGCTGGGCACCTCTAGTCTTGCATGCCCAGAGCCCTTCCTCTTCCCATGGGATTTCCGAAGGCCAGGAAGGATTCACTGACAAGCAACATGACAGCCCAATGCGACCAGGACTACGGAAACAATATGTCCTCATCCTATTTTCTTATTTTCCCTCCCTGCTTTAACTCCACAAGCACATGTTGCCAAGCTAATTTCGGCCTACCTTCTAGACTATGAATTTGTCTTTAATTTGGCGGTGATGTGGTGCATATCATCTGTTCAAAAATCCCAACTATTGATACTAAAACACGATAAAATCACTTGACAAGTTGATATCCATATTAATATCCATATCTAACCTTACCGCCCCCCTACGCATCTTTCTTAACTGCGAGCAAAAAGGCCGATGACTGGATGATCGTCGCACTTAGCCGCTTTCTCAATAGCCCCAAATTTTCTTATACTTCACCGCCTCTCGAAACGCTGGTCGTTGAAGGACAGGGATGATCAGACATCAAAATATTTCCACATGGCTCCAAAATCCCTCCCAGTTCATCGGGCGGTGACAAATGAAAATGAAGCGCCAAACACATTCATGCCGTATTGATTCTATAATTTCCATTGCCCTACCCGGGGTTTCTAGAACCATGATGGAAATTGAGGGGCCTGTCTGTGTGGAGTACAGAGCATTCAACAGTTTCAACAAACCCTTTTTTTTTAATGTACCGAAGAGCGAAGGCCGTCTCGTGACAACCATTCATTTCGCACCTTTGTTTATAAATGGGCCTATCTAGGTAGAACACTATACTGTAGACAATAATGATACTATGATGATGGTGATTTGCGGTTGAGTGCGACGGCGCATCTACCACCGTATGAGCCCGCGCGCCTTGCTGACATGTTCAGCCATGCAGACCGTTGACAGAGCTTGCATTACTCCCGTCCTATTAGCGCGAGACTATCGCATTTCAATTGGGATAGGTACATACTATACATTATTGTCTTTACGCATTCCCCATATCGGGACGAGGGAGGAGAGAGGAGAGAGGAGATTTGGTGGCGGTCTGAGTAAGTTTCGTGCACGCGACCGCGACCTGCAAAGCGGCCTCGAATGGAAGAAGAAATTTACATTACCTGCTTTTTCGATCCAACCAACGTGTGTACGGCAAGGCACGTTGTTGGATTCCATGTACGCTGGAGAAGCGTGGCTTTCGGATATTCGCATCATCGTGCTTGGTACTGTGAGCACAACCTTACACACACAGACGTGTTCACCGAAGTGCAATATAGGCTTACTGATAACATTCGTCTGCTACTGCTACTGCGGTGGTCACTTCTCAAGGGTGGACTCAATCATGCTATCTAGCCGTCAATAGATAGTGCCAAGCCCACGAAATTGGTCTTGTAAATTAAAGGTACACACAGTACCAAGTACAGATGCACAACACCATTCTGACAAGTGCAAATAAGATATATATAAAAAAAAATACGCGTCGTGAGGGCTATTGCCGATGGTGGTTCATGTTAAAATAGCATTGTTTGTGTGGTTTCAGAACAACTGCCGGAAGGTAGAGTGATTTGATGGTGCGATTTTCGCATATGTTTGGCATGTTGCCAATCCTCGTTTCGCACGCAGGCTGAGCCCGGATCGTCAAAGAGAGACATATTTCATCATCAGCCAGCTTGTCAACTGCTGAAATGGTTCTCACACCGAAACTTATTAGCATGGAGAGTTTATTTTATATTCCCTGGAGTCGGCGGAAGAAGCCGGTGGCAGAGATGGAGAGACATGTCACTTACTAAATAAAGAAAGTCAAGAAGAACCCAAGAAGCAGAGAGAAGAAGATTAAAACTGGATTGATCAACAGAGTTGGAAGATCTTCTTATCTCGGGTTTGTAGTTTGTACCGTTCTTAACCATGTGTCCTGGCTCCGGAGGGGGGGGGAGGGTTTGTTTGATGGGTTGAGAGCTGCTGACTGGAGAGCTGCTGACTGGTACTGATGGGTAATTGAAAAATTGAAAAATTGAAAAATTGAAACCCTAAGAATTATGGAAGTCTCAGATTTATGGATTGCTTCAAGCTTGTACCATACCGATTACATAGCAAAAATGGAGTATCGTCAGGTACTAGTAACCAGTATCAGTATCCGTATTGAGCATATCATGCCTCATGGTTCTAGATGAACATTTGCTCTGGATTATTATGTTCGAGATCATGATTTATTAGGAATAGACGGGTCTACATTGTATGTATTACCGGTAGTAATAATGGCATTATATAAGAGCCCACAGCTACTACATCAACACAGCAGAATGATTGGCCACGACCAAACCATCAAGGGTTCCGCCCATCCATCCTATGAATGACAATCTAGATCCCTGTCTGCCACGAGTAAAAAACGAGAAAATAAGATAGATTCACCTGGCATTAACTTAAAAGACGATTAGTGTGCTTACGGCCCACGAGTTGTAACAACCTTTATGAAAGCATCTTTTGCCGCCATGCGATTCATTGGTTCGTTTTGTGTGTGTCTGATGAAATAGTAGAAACAGTAGAAATAGTATGTGTGTGTGGACATGTACCTAAGGATGGATGTAGAATTTACTTAGAGTATTACTAGTATCACTAGTATCACTAGTATTCCTAGTACTCCTAGTATTCCTAGCTTCACTACGACATACAAGGGCATAATCGTCTTACTGCGTACAGTAAAGTACATGTGAAGGAAAAGACCGAATAAGCCATTCATTTTTTTTTATACCTTTCTGTAATCATAAGATCGGCTCGGGGATAGGTGATACCGGGTGTCGGTAATAGTGCGAGTCGGATTTAAGATGCGTGAGAGTGAGATGAGAGACAGAGTGAGCATGGGCATGAGCATGAGAGTAAAAGAATTTATATCTATCGGTCGGATGGGAGATGAGACTATACTTATTTTGAATATGGGTTGGGTTCCCTGTTCTCACTAGATTTAGATACAATGTACAATGTGCTCAACATAAGGAAAGCCCCTCCCCTCCCTCCTCTTCAATTCATTGATGATTACGATACAAGTATATACATTACATTGTACAGATGCCAAAAGAAGCAGAAAGTAGCCCCCCCATCGAAAAGTTGAAGGAACAGTTCCACTCTTGATGTCAAAAGTCCGCTCCACTCATATGATTTCATACTGGATGTAGATTAGTTACACATCACACATCCCATTTAGATTCCATGCTTTTCCTCACTCGACCAATTAATTATGTTTCATTAATAAAAAAAGGTGTGTACACAACATGTTTAGGCATAGAACAAATCAATCAATCCCCCTTGTTCCTTTACACTACCGAGAAAAACACGCCGGACGCACGCTACTTGTGGGTCCCAGTAACCCTCGTGCTTAGAACGAGGTTTCCCGCTTTTCTTTTTCCTTTTGATTTCGTTACTGCCACTGCTGCATTTGCTGCATTTGCTGCATAAATAATGCTGGTCGATGTTACCCTTCTAATATGCTATTCAATCCCTCCAGGATTTGCGAGCGCGAGAGCTCGAGTGAGTATGTTCTGAGGGATGGATGCGACGTGCCAGCTAGGGTTCCCACAATCCAGAACGGATAGATTGATTTTACTCATCACGGTAGTAATGCTTAGCAAATCAATTAAGAAGTGATACCCACCCATCAGTTCTCTTCGCAGTTAGCGAGCGAGCCTTTAATATGTGCCTAGCTGGATTCTGTCACTCTTGAGTCTTTGACTTGTCTCCTTGAGTCCTGCTTTCATGGCACGCACGCATCCATTAATTGAATTTGCATGCCCGTACGCACAAAATCATCTTATATGCAAAATTCACTTCATCTGCGGACCGACCCTCGCTTTCCATCTAGTCACTAGGTAGGTAGGTATCTACATAGTATACCTCTCCCGAAAAGCTCAAATCGGTTGTCCCTCTTTTAACCTTTTTTTAAAACCCTCAGATATCGTGCTTGCTTTCTTATTCAAGCAATTAAATCTTCAAATCCAATCTTAAACCCTTCACTCTAATCTCCATTCAAACTAGTCCCGACATTCTCTTACTTGCTTGGTTCACATTGATGCAATTGTTCACCGAATACCTACCTACCTCGACGTATCCTCTTGGATTTCCCTGGTGGTCCCAATCTCTGGTCCCCATCTGCAGCGCTCTCTATCCCTCCAGCTCTCCGGCTCTTTTTTTAGACCCTCACTATTCGCTAGCTCTAATCATTGGGGGGACGGACAACTTAATCCGCAATTTGTACCTGTCTGTCTGTCTGCCTGCCTGTCTGTAGCCGTACCTAGAGTTTTTGATCTATCGGCACCCAGCATCTAGCATCTAGTACCTAGCACCCATCGCCCACACCCATCACTCATCACCTACCTAGCACCTAGCACCTAGCACCTAGCACCTAGCAAAAACCCACTCAAACAAAACACAACCTACACCTTTCTTCCTCTACCGATTCCTCCACTTCAATCCCTTGAACGGAGCACCAGGAGTAAAAACAAAGTAAAGAGAGAGTGAGAGAGAGTGTGTGAGAGAGAACGAACAGAAACGAGACCAAGCCAGGCCAAAATAAAAAAAATAAACAGTACAAGCGTGGATAATCGCAAATTCAAGACAGATGTGTCAAGGTTCCTCCCTTATCCTAGTAAGTACTCCATTAATTATCTTCTCATGCCTTCCTTGCTCCCTCCCTCCGTCCTTGGAAAAACATTACAGACTTGCTGTTATAGATTTTCTTAATGGGAACTTTTATTTTATTTTTATTTTTACTTTTTTTATTAATAAAATATTTATATTAGCTGCGCAATTAGAGAGAGAGAGAGAGAGACAGAAAAAAACCTTACCTTACCTAGATGGCTCTCTCGCCTTCTATTTCACCCCACACCACTACGACTACCACGACTACTACCACGAGAAATACCACTTCCACTTCCACCTCTACCTCTACCTCCACCATCTCTAAAACTCCCAATTCCTCTTTCCATTCCGGATCTCATTCAAACTCAAACTCAAATTCGGTTTCGGTTTCGAATTTGATTGACACAAGTAATATTCAAGATCGTATTGTCCCGTCCTCTCTTACCCATAAATCCAATCCTACTCATATCTCAACCACATCTACATCTACACCTACACCCACACCCACTTTCACCACTTCCACACCCACTTCCACTTCCACTACCACCACCACCACATCATCATCTACCTCAGCCTCAAGTTCACTACCACCACTTTCGGATAGATCCATTCGAGAAGGCGAAACGAGTCAAAGTTTTACGAGAGATTCCTCAAATTTCTTATCTTCAGTAAAATTGTCGGTTCGACCTCTAACTTTTGATTCAAAATCTTCATTGACACCTCGCGAATCGAGTTCAAAGGAACTGATACCTCGCACGTCTAATAATACTACCTCTCATAAGCAAAATCGTCAATCGACTAGCTCTTTAAGACAAAACCGAAGTGGCTTGTTCACCTTAGCTGTATTGGCAAGAGATAAAACTAGCAACGCAATTGCAAGTTTGGCTGAACCCGCCTTACGTTCACGTCCTTTATCAGGCAATATTTTAGATTCACATCCAGATCAAAACACTCCTTTGAATAGTATTAAAAACAGGTCCAAGTCGGCAGAAGTTTTGGGAAGCAACGTAAATCACTCTGATTTATCTTCCGCGCCCTGCGAAAACTCGACATCGACTACATCCAACACAATTTTAGAGGATACACCTCCCTCCCATTTCTTGGGTCGTCGTCAGTCGTTACTTGGTACCAACCCTCCCTCGCAGGCGTACTCGAATACTGCTGCAGATACCCCACCGTTGATCCACTCAAATCACAGGACGACAAATTCCAGCAAGATGCATCAAACATCGTCGCGCTTGTTGCGCATGACGAGCGACGACAGGCCATTCACCAGAGTATGTATTGGCAGTGATGTGTTAATTTTTCCAGAGGCCAAGATTGATGCTGACTTTTGGACAAGGATTTCAAAGATTTATTCGCAACGTTGGTAGTCAGTTTACCGCTGGCAACGCACCGCATACGATTAACTAGAGTGGAACATTCGTTTCTTTCAGAAGAGGCCATCAATAATTTGGGTTCTCTAAAATTCTCGCAATCAAATCGTATGCCAGATCCAAAAGACCCCTCACGCATTGTCACCACCACCACGACAACAACATTTTCCATGGCGCGAGAAATGGCTCGATCAGTATGTCAACGTTTCCTAGATGCACGATTTATCGAATCTGCGGACGGAAAGCAAGCAAAGGATTTCACAATGAAGGGATCCATATGGCAGTTGACACCAAAAGGTATTCATGTTTTGGAAAGATTTTGCTCGAAGAATGGAATCCAACAAAGACATGTCGCAGAACTTGTCGCATCCCCAAGGAACACAATGCAATTGGTCATTCTAGAAAGAGATTCTGCTACGGACAAACTTTCCTCGGATCGAAGCACAATTGAGGTTATTTTCCGCAGGTTTGTTGGTCAAAATGGACCGAATATCAAGACTAGCACCACATCAGCTGATTCGGATTCTTTGAGCGAGTACAAGGATGGAATTGCTGGTGTGAGAATGGCAGGAGAGCGTAAAGTTGGATCGCCACCCAGAACTGTCTATCAAACATTTACTGGAAAGGCCGCTTGTGACTGGCTGATGGATTGTTGTACTACGGTGGACAGACGGGAAACCACAGAAGTTGCGTCGCTATTTTTGGAGCAAGAACTAATCTGGTGTGTTCAGCCCGACAGGCAATACCAGCAACAACTCCCTCCTTCAGATGACAAGAAGGATTTCCGATTCCAGCCTACAAAGTATGCCTACTATCAATTATCACAGAAAGGCAAGGATGTGATCAATATGACTTCGAGAGATCGTACTTCAGAGAGTGAAGGAAGTTCAGCAGCAGTAAGAGCTGGTGTATCCCGAGATTCGAATACTCAAAAGTTGGACAAAATTCTTAATGATGCCGCACTCCGTTTACTTTTCCGCGAAAACCTTCGGGATACCCATTGTGAGGAGAACTTGTCTTTCTATCTAGATGTCGAAGAATTCTTGAAGTCATGCAAAGCAGCCGTGAGAAATGTAGACCCAACCAGGGGTAAATCAGGAGGAAGTCTCGATTCCGTCAAGGAAACTATGGCTTCAGCCTATGGTATTTACAATGCATTCTTAGCTCCAGGCTCACCTTGCGAACTTAACATCGATCATATGCTCAGGAATCAATTGGCTACTAGAATGACCAAGGCTGTTGGACAAGATGCTGCTATGGTTGAGAGTTTGAAGGAAGTCACAAAGTTGTTTGAAGAGGCTCAATTATCTGTCTTCAAGTTGATGGCTAGTGTAAGTATTGTGTATGTGCAATTATCGATTATTTTCTAACAATCAATCACAGGACTCCGTGCCAAAATTCATGAAGAGCTCAAAATATGAACAAACTCTCAAGAATTACGATTTCGATTCAATATCTCCAAATGGACAACGGTACAACTTACCTGAACGATCTGCTAGCAAATCTAACAGGTAGTATCTAGATAATTGCCAATTGGCTCAACGACAAACCCCCTCTAAAATACCTCTCACCACTTCATCGATCTTGGGCACTAGTTGTATTATTACTTCGAGAGCAGGTATTTAGGCCTTGGCAGAGGCTTTGAAACGATCAGTTGTCTTTTAGCGATTGCATAGATTCCCCTCGATATCACTTTTGGACCTGAATATATCCCAGCAGAAGGATCAATTGGAGATGACGAAAATGAGATTTCCTTTTCGAAACCAAGAGAATGCAATATCACATACTGTACGAATGATCATCAACTTGGGAAGTCTCACCCGGAAATGAATGCATTTGATGGAGCAATGAGAAGCTTTTTCGGGGACTGGCCATCATTTTGATGTTATGGCCTTTATTTTTTTATTTTACAATTTTTTTTTTGCGCAGGTCTTTTACTTGATTTTTTCGTCTTTCGATGAGCGGCTTTCCAGCATTGCATTGCAAAGCATAATCGACGAACGAGATACATGTACATAGCATTTCTGGCGTTGGGGTTATAGTTTGTCCTCTTTTATTGTGGGAGGGACGAATAAATTCATTGGGTGGGGTGTTGCTATACAAATATAGATGGGGTGGGCGGGAGAGAAATGGATGGATGGATGGATGGAAGGAAAGACTATTTGTCTTTATTTTTCTTTTCTGTTTATGGTAAAAAGGGAGGTGGGATAAATATGGAGAGGGATAGCGATTAGTGTGAAGGGATAGGGGGAGAGAAGATAAAGATGGAAAATGGAGAATGGAGAGAGAAATAGGGGAAGGGGGATAGGTCAAGGAAAAAGACTTGCAAGATACGAGAAGAAAGGATAGAGTTTCTTGAGTGGTGCTTTATGCTATACCATAATATTAACATGACCATGATATGATATTGTTTTTATGAGATTTTTTTTAGATTTTTTTTCATACGTATTTTTGGTGATTTGGATTTGAGGGGGTTGTTTGTGTGTCACAGATAGATGGCGGATAGATGCCGCATGAACAAACATGTCTTGATTTATTTTATTAAATGATGAATGATTGGATGAATGATGAATAAGGGTAGGATAGAAAGAAGGAGAAGAAGATGAAGAAGAAGGGAAGGAGTGCGAGTAAGTGCGAGTGTGAGAGTGAGTGTGAGTAGGTAGCAACTGGTGGGTTGACTTGACTCATTGACTATATATAAGATTACGGGGAGGATATTTTATTTTTTTCAGCTAATCAGTGCCTATGAGATGTATGATATATATATATCAATGATGCCAATGCGCCATGCATGCATGCGTGCGTGCGTGCGTGCAATGAGATTCGGAAGGGTGTAATGATATTTGGAAGGGTGCAAGTAATTAGAGGATTGTAATGGATGAATGGTATTTGGGATGGTTGATGGGTGGATGGATGGATGGATGAATCGGTTAGATGATTTGTGTATATGTGTATACATGTGTATATAGGTGTATATAATAATGGGATGGATGGATGGATAGATCTTGAATTCTATGGAGAGTTTGTGGTTTACATGTATATGGATTTGTATTGATGTTGATGTTGATATTGATATTGATAATGATAATGATAATGATACTACCGTCTCCCATCTAACACCCCTTCTCCTCAACCACAGAGTTCAAAAAACTCTCGAGGAGTACATCTTCCATGTCTTTGATATTCCTTCCGATCAAGACGATTTTTCCCTCGCTGTTGCGGTCGGATTGCATTTCGGTTTCGATTGTGGATTGGGGAGAGGGAGAAGAGGGAGATACGTCGTCGAGGATTTCGAATACTTCGCGCACGGCTTGGATGATTTTGGTGGTGTGGTTTGTAAGGGGGAGACGGGCTTTTAGACGGTGGATTTCCGGGGAGAGGGAGGGGGATGTGGGGGAGGATGGGGAGGGAGAGGGAATGCGAGAGTCCCAGAGGAGAGAGCGCAGCCAGGCGTCGAGGTGGGAGAGGCTGGTGGGGGAGAGGGGTGGGGTGGTGAGGGTTAGGGTCGTGATTGTCTGGGTGGGGGTTGGGGGGTTAGTTCTGTTTGGTTTTGTTTATATAGGGGAGAGGGGGAGTTAAGTTCGGGGGTGGGGGGAGAGTTTGGATAAATGGGTAAAGGCAGATGAGTAGATGAGGTAGGGAAGAAAGAAAGAGAGTAGAAATCAAAACTCACGGGATCTAAATGACTATGTCCTTTTGCTTTTACTTCCTCCAGATTGAAATCGACTCTATCATATGCATGTAAATCTAACAAGACGCCTTCTAATTGGGGAGTTGCGCCAAATTCAGTAATGTGTAATTTTGCCAAACCATTTATCGCCGTGATTCTCTCCTTGACGATTTCCAATTCTTCCGGAGTGACCAGATCCGATTTGTTGAGGATGAGAACATCGGCGTGAGAGATTTGGAGATGGGCGGTTGTGAGATGAGGACCAGAGTGGTCATGTTTCTCGTTAGCATCGGAATTGGAATCGGCGCTGGCGTGGGATTTGTTCTGATTGGGTGTTTCCGAGGGTATTTCCGAGGGGACGGGTTCGTTGAGTGACTTGAGAATGTTTTTGGCGTCGACGAGAGTCACGATTCCGTCGAGATAGATGGTGCTGCCGAGTCCTTCGTCGACCCAGAAGAGGGGAGCGAGGTTGCCAGGGTCGGCGAGTCCGGTCGTTTCGAGGAGGATGTAGTCAAAGGCGCCGCGGCGGTCCATGAGGGTTTCGATGGCGTTGACGCCGGAGTCTCTGGGGGTATATTGGTGAGGTTATGGTGGGATTGGGATTGGGATTGGGATTGGGATTGGGATTGGGATTGGGATTGGGATTGGGATTGGGATTGGGATTGGGATTGGGATTGGGATTGGGATTGGGATTGGGATTGAAATAGGGGTTGGGATGGGATAGAAAAGGGAGGAAGAACATGGAGATTTACTTTACTGAACAACAGATACAGCCATTACCAACATCGAGCCATTCTTCTACTTGCTCACTACCAGTGTTGACAGTAAGAGTTTTCTCAATATCAGCGGCTGGATAGTGGAAATGTTAGTTAGATTATCATAAGCCAGAAGGGGAAGTCCCCGAGTCATGATACATTTGCATCTTGACTTGTAAACTGGGAAGATCACTTGATCTATAGTTTTCCAACTTACAATCACCGAATTCTACAGAAAAAGTTAGTCAAGAGTCATATTGTATGGCACAAGATCTGAAGAGCATGTATAATGTGAAGAATAAATACCATTTAATATCACGGCGATTTTCTTCCCATGTTGTTCATTCAAGATATAATTCATCAACGTTGTCTTTCCAGCACCAAGATATCCTTGAAGTTCATGGTTAGTTATATTATTCTATCCAGATATCTAGGTATATATATAGAACTTGCCTGTGACAATTGTGATTGGTACTTTGATGGGCTTTGCTTCTTTTTCTTCTGCATTAACTTCTTTGCCTTCCACATCGACTAGCATGGGAATATCATCATCGACGTCCATGATGGATATGTACCAGGTATAGGGAAGGAATAGTTGTAAATAAATGTATATCAAAGAAATCAAATATTATGAATTATTCTGTAATATCTCTCTCTTGCTCTCTCTTTCTCTTGCTCTCTCTATCTCTCTCTACTTGAGGAAGATTTCGAATTCGGTCTTGATCTTGATTTTGATTTCAATTGTTTTTCCCACAAAATATAAAAAACCCTTTTATTCCTCACATGCTCTACAGCCTTGTGAAAGTTCAGCGTCCTTGCACCCAATTTAGAGTTCCCGACACTATTTAATGAACCATAAGGTTTGATTGGTTAACGCGGATCTGCAGAAATTGGCGCGTTACTACCGGTATTACTGTAATACTGTAACATTAATCCACACCCATCAACTTTCAATTTATCGTTCGTTAAAAAGTAAACAAACTCAACTCTTTCAAGTCGCAACCTCGAGCGCATCGTTTTTTGGCACATGTAAAAGATTTACAAAGTCAATTTGAGGGGTTGATCATGATGTGCAGTCTCCCACCAAGCTCTCCACGGCTTCCCAGCCCACCTCCTCCTACAGAAATCCAGATTGGTCCGAAATCACCATCCCTTGGGAGTGCTTCCTCAAACCAAGAACAAATGATTGAGCAAAGTATTATAGAAACAAATGCTAGTCGAAGGATACATCCTGGAACAAAAGCTGCTGATATGGCTGCTGGTCCACCTCTCATACCTTTGAGTGAGGTTGGTACCTCCTGATTTCCTAATTTGAAGCTCAAAGGCTACGTCGCATCTATATTTTGATGACATTACTAACTTATTCTTAACATCATACAGCTCGACTCAGCATTTCAACTACAAGAACATTTAAAAGCGCTCCATTACTATCATACCAAACCTCCCTCCAGAGACCATAGCATCCCCATAACCCGCGAAACCGCTGTCGAAATAGCCACACCACCAAATGGACTCGATCAAGCTCTTTGGCTGTACGAACTCTGTCGTTTCCTAATCAACAAATGCAATGATCTAATAATTGGATTCCTCTTCGACGATCCTCCTTGTTCCGCACATACATGTCCAGAAATGCGCGCTTCCGAATGGCAATTTCTTTGCGCCGTACACGAATCACCCAAAAGTTGTTGCGCGATCGATTACTGCTGTCATACATTGGACTGGGCTACAAATATTGTAACCAGCCAAAAGATATTTCCAAGTCGTTTGAGTATGGCCGCTGGTGATGCGATGGATGACAGAGGGGCTGGTGTTAAACATTTAATTAATATTTTCAGGCGCTTACATCGAATATTTGCGCATGCGTGGTTTCAACATCGGGGAGTATTTTGGCAGGTTGAGGGCCAGACAGGTCTTTATGTTTTGTTCAAGACAGTTTGTGATATGCATGAGCTATTGCCGCCAGAGAATTATAAGCTCCCACCAGAAGCAGAGGGATTGGAATATGTTGAGGATAAACCACCGGCGGTTACATCGATTTTGAAGACACCAGTAGGAGTTGAGGAAGACTTCTTAGGGCTTGGAAGACAAAACACAACTAGAAGACATGTTAGACAATCGCCTTCAGTGGGATCGGCAATCACGACAGTTCAGGAGATTGATGAGGAAGAAGGGGACATAACTCAAAGATTAAGGGCTGCACGCAATTCACGAATTGCAGAGGAAGAGGGAGAGGATGGAGAGACGGAAAATAATACTAAATCAGAGATAGAGATACCCGTTATTGTGGAGACCGTTAAGGAGGTGGATCCAGATGATGATATGGACCATGAGGAGATGGATAATGGGGTAGTAGAGGAAGAATACTCAAGTTCGCAAACGATCCAAGATCTGGAATCTGAGCTGGAAGATTCTGAGACTGTCATCCATGATGACAACTATTCGAGAGCGGATTCAACTGGTTCGTGGGATAGTATGTCTGGCGATTCAGTGGGAGACAAGACAGAGGTGGAACAAGAAAATGGTGATGCTAGCGAAGAGAAGTCAGAGACAGTCATTGAACATCCAATTCCAGAATCAGAATCAGAACCTACTCCAGAGCCATCTAGTACCGAGAGTAGCGGAGAAACGGAAGAGGAGCAAGAAGTACAAGAGCAGAAGGATAACTCCAGCGAGGATGAACATACATCTCCACCCAAAGAAGTTTCCACCACCAAAGAAACCCCTCCCAAAAAGTCCAAGAAATCCAAGAAGAAAGCAAAAAAATCCGCCGCAGCAAAAGAAGCTTCAAAAATATCAACATCAATCAATCACATAAACGACGATACGAACACTACGGATAAGGAAAAGGCATCGGATCAAGATGGAGAGAAAGGGGAACAAAAGACTTGATCTTCCTTTCATTCTTTTTGTAAAAGGTACAGGACATTGGTATGATGGATGGATATGGATTCTATGAGCTTATGTTTCTTTCTATGGGGCTTTAGGGATTAACTTTACCTACCTACTTTATCTACATTACTTGCTTACATTACTTCTCGCTTGTATTATAATACTCTTCTTCTTTTTTTACCCTTTTGATAATAAAGATTCAGATTCTGAGCTCGTGAAAGAAAGAGCGTTTTTATGTTATGGCTTGTCTTGTCTTGTCTTCTCTTGTATTTCATCCTGTCACCTTTCTCTCTTTTCTTTTCGTTTGGAAAAAGGTGTAGCAGAAAGAGGGATGGATGGATAGGGGAGGGATGGTGGCGATGGTGATTGATGATGGTATGCTGGTTGGTATGCATGAATGAAATTTGTACTTGTACTTGTACTTGTAGGATATGATAAGATACTTGGATTAGGAAGGGGAAGAGAGGGGAAATTCGATAATGCGTGGTTTGTGGATGGGGATGGGGATGGGGATGAGGATGATGTTTGTTGAGATGGGAAAATGAAGGGAGAGAAAAGGAAAGGAAAGGAAAGGAGAAGAGGAGAAAGGTACATGAAATATTACGGTGAAAATGAGATTGAGATTGAGATTGTGAAGTGCGGTGTTTTTGTGGATATTAGTTTGTAGGGAGGTAGGTGGGTATGAATACTTAGTAGTATGTGATATGTCATTAGATACGATATGACATTTGATGCGATAAAATGAAATGAAATAGATAGTCATTTGAATAACAGATAAGTACCGAGTAGGTAGATAAGGTAAACAGAGATGCAAATTGTATATTAAAGCAAACTTCTATCCGATCAGAATAATCAAATTGTATCAGATTGGATCGGACGCATTACCCATTCAAGTAAGGAGTAAGGAGTTCTGTATGATCAACTACCTACCTTGCATAGGTAGTACTTGATAATGAAAGTAGATCAGAAGAAAAATTGGTAGGGTGAGGGATCTGCATCCTTTGTTTCTTCGGCTTCCCAATAGTTTGATATTTCTCGCTCTACTATACCTACCTAGGTATCGATCGCACACCGTTTGCTTCGCTTCGCGTATAACTCCTCGCTTCTATTTCTCTGCTCTTGGTATGTACTTCGTTTCCAAACATATCCCCCATGATATCAACTTCTCCCCCCCCCCTCTCTCTCTCTCATCCCATCCATTCCATCCCAACCTACCCATACAACACCCCCTCCACCACCTCCGCAATCGCCAAACTGCTCGTCAACCCCGGACTCTCAATCCCCAACAAATTCACCCACCCGCTCCACCCCTCCTCCCTCATATCCCTGACCACAAAATCCTGAAACCCCTTGCCACTCCCCACCGCCCCGCCCCTCGCCAGCTTCGGTCGAATGCCCGCGTAATCCGGCTGAATGCCCTCAACCTTCACATCCGGCAAAAACCGCCGTATCTGCTCGATCGCCTGCGGCAACCGCGCACTATTGACCGCCAAAACCTCCGCGCTATCCATCCACTCCACATCCGGTCCAAAGCGGATGCGCCCCGCGATATCCAGCGTGAGATGGGTGCCCAGGCCCCCGAGCCCCGGTTCGGGCGCCGGATAAATAAGATGTTTCGTGGAGGGCGTGCTGGGGGAATAGGAGAAATAATTCCCCTTGGCGTAATACTGCGTGCGATGTTGTTCCGGCGGCAAAATCATATTATTCACATCGCACGCGCCCAAGCCGGCGGAATTCACGATGCTCTCCGCGGTAAATGTATTTTCTTCCCCGCTTGCTCTGTCCCTCACCAGGATTTCCCATCCCATGCTTCCCTTATCCCCTAACGGAGTAATCGCAACCACATTACTATTCAACGCCGTGTCCCCACCCCTCTCCTCGAAATCGCCATGAAGAAACTGCATATACGCATGCGAATCTACGATTCCCGTCGACGGACTCGCGAGGATCCCCGTTTGCGCGCGCACGTATGGTTCTTCGATGGCGGCCTGTTTTAACGATACGAAATGCGTGGGAACATTCTCCAATGTTTTGCTGAACTCGTGGACTTTGACTAGTTCTTCGTATTGTTGGTCGGTTTGGGCTACGATCCATTTGCCCATGTTCTTGTGAGGAATGTTGTACTGGGCGCAGAGGGCATAAAGCATCTGACGACCACGAATGCATACTTTGGTTTTGAGGGAATCAGCGCCGTAATAGAGACCAGCGTGGATGACCTGATAGAAAGGTTATCAGCCGAGTAAAATGTCGATGTGAAAATATCGACACATGTTCTGGTGCAGTGACAATTTAGAAGAGATATCAAAGGAGAGATACTGACTTCAGAGTTCCTCGAACTGGTTTCCATTCCCACAGCACTATTTCGCTCGAGAAGTAATGTGCTTGTCCCGTCTCTACCTGCTAATTGCCTCGCAATTGCAAGGCCTACTGCACCTCCACCGATAACCTTGGCATATTAGCATTCAATTGCAATAACATATCGTTGGTACTATGGAAGGGGATATACAGCATGTGTAAAATCAGCCTGTCGTGGGATAGTACTTGTGAAACATCGTCGTTGCACTAATTTTGAGGTCAGTTGACCTCGAATGGAGCTGCGAAACATATTCACAAGTAATTTTTTTCTCCCATCAAAAAGCTCCAATTTCAAGCTGCTAGACCATCAGGATTCAATGGCTTGTCGTTGCATAAGATTGTCATGATGCAATAGCACGAGTGCGGGGAGCTTCCGTGCAAATGCAGGGGTTCACAAGGCTCAAAGATAAGGCTATCACTATCTTCATCTTGGGATTAAATCTCAAATTCTAGAAAGAATATTATTCATTACGGGTTGAGTTGTTAAATCTTGATTCTAGGAATAAGAAATGTTCTCACACGCGCTTTTAGACTCATAGGTAGCTTCGATACTGCCCAACAATAAACGTACCAATAAACACACCAACGCCAAAGTTTTGTAAAGTTTACAATTTGGATGCACTTGATCCGTGGAATCACTTATTACGCCTCTAGTCCGTAGAATTTCCCACACATAAAGAAAGCCTCTGAGTGTTTATATCGTGTCAATCTTGTTTTGGCTCCTCTGTTGGCGCAACAAGTGATGTTGGTTCTTCAGAAAACGAGGTGGAGGATGCTAGATGGGAGCTCAAGGCAGGTTCGTGTGTTATGGAGGAATTTGCATGTTGTTCACTAACTTGCCGCTCTAATAAATATTAATTAGCATGGAGAAATATTGGAGAGATGTGATAAAGTTTAACTTACCCAATTCCCGAATTCTTTGACGCAACATTTGATTCTCTCGAATCATTGTTTGGGTTTCGGCTTGATAATATGCACTTTCGTCACGACCGCCTAAATTCCATGCATCGCCCCCTTCATTGCTTATAGATGTAGACCTCAACCTAGGAGATGCAGTTCGACTTGGTGTTCTAGATCGCCGGTTTAAATTCTCTCGTGCAACATCGAAAGAAGTTCGAGGATGCATTGCAGTAACGGGTGATCGGGGAGCCTGGACTGCTGAGGTAACATTTGGAGGGATGCTTTGTGTCGAAAATGATAGAGACCGCTCAGATGTCGGAGTAGATTCATCTATGGCAACAGAACCTGTCGCTTGACCACTGGCAGCTTGTAATTGGTGGAGTTGTTGTTGTTGGGTTCGAATCATATGCAAAAGTCGATTCTGAATAAAAGAGAAATCAGCTGGTGAGCTGAGAATTCAGTGCATCTTCTGATAGAACAGTAACTTACCACTTGAGCTTCTTGTTCTTGTTCCAATTCCTGATGAATCTCGCCAAGACTAGGTGCGCGATAATGTCGATGATCACCACTGGCAGTGATAGGTGACCCTGTGAGTGACATGGGGCTGGCTGTACGATTTTGGCTTTCACTAACGATTTCCCCTTGTGGTGGTAAGGTTGGATCATTCATTTGTAAAGCATTTAGAACTGTTGATCGTCTTCTGCCTGAGTGTGAAGCTGTCGAAGCTTGTCGATGCCGGCTTGTAGAACCACCTACATTTAAAATTAGCAGTCGTTTTGTATTGATGGAGTGTTTGTACTAAGTTAAGGGGCAAATAAAGGGAGCAAATAAAGAAACCAAACATACGCCTTGTATTTTCTTCTTGCTGAAGGCCCGCGTTGACTGCAGCAGCAGCTTGGAGCGACGTGGATGCAGAACGCGGTGATGGAGAAGGACTTTGAGCTCGCACATTCATATGTGCGGGGCTATCGCCTGGATTTGAAGCTGTGCGGGACATGTTGGGTGAAGTATTTGATGAACGTGAAGGAGGGAGTGAGTTTAAGTCGGGAGCCATTGATATGATATATGTTTAGTTTTATAGCTTAGGAAACAAAAAGAGGAATTGGTGGAGGGCAGGTAAGGATTGGATTGATGGAATGTTGTGGGGTAAAGGCTAACAGAGGAGCTAGGGTTGGTTGGTTAGGTTGTCTGTCCTAGTAGTTCTAGACAATGGATGGATGGATGGATGGATGAATAGATGGCATGGGCAGGAAATCGTATGATAAATAGCTAGATATTAGATGTGAGATATTGAATATCATGATTTGTCCACAATCACCTGATCTTGGTAATTGATTGCGTTGCACCTTCGAATTGCTCATTTAATTCGTGATGTGGTTGATATACTCTTTCCTTTTCCCAATCCTTGATTGTTTTCCATCACACCGTTGTCTATCGACTATCAATGCACAGGTAAGCATTCTAATAAGTAGCTCGAGAAGGTACCACAGGTCAAAGCTTAAGCTTCCTTCCACGTTAAAGGTTAGCCCTCCCGGTGACGTTACCAACGATTAGTACCCGCATCTTAGCTTTTCTCCAAAATGCAGGGTTCGTTTTTGGATTGTCCAAACATCATTGCCAACGTGAAACGGTATACATAATAATACTCACATCGCAGAGGCAAACATAAAAACATACCTGTCTCATGATGATTGACTAATTGAATATCGTAGCATTTCCATCTCATGTTTTTGCGACGGGAAACAGTGAAAGATTATTATCACCAACCTACCTATGTAAGTGCTACCAGCAATATCGTATAGCATGATACGATATTATATGTTGATCACTATAGAGTGATATATAAGACCATGGGTTGACAAACTCATCAGTCTTCTAGTCCGATGAAGAAATGTTTCAGTTGAATCTCAAGCAAACCATTCGCATGTGTTCCCAAACAATAGAAAGATGAAATCATGGAACATGGAAATTATGCAAAATGCCACCATTTCCTACTGCAAATTGAGTTCGCCCATTACTCGATAGGCCATGTCAGATTTGATCATATGTGATTATCTGCGATGCGGGAACAGCTGTTATTAGATGGCCAAACGGAATTTATACGGAGCCTTTTCCCCACCACTGCAGTGGTACTTTTACGAATTTGCAAATGATATACAGAGTACAAGCTTCTTGTCGCACATCTGCAGGGGCTTGCATTTTCAAAACCTACTGTATGAACCCTTGGTCTTACCATACCCTAAGGGTTCCATTAAATGGAATCTGCAGTGCAATCGTGAAGTTCTTGAAAAATGAAGATTAGGTAGTGATGAAGGAAAATAAGCCCAACTTCAATTTCCTTTCGAGTCATCTGCACAGGCACATATTCACACTTTCACAAAGTAATTGCCGGTGGCATTGACGGTATCAAAATTCTACGGGACTACAAAGCAAGACGAGATGCATCCTTTTTTTTGTGGCGGCCTTTTCAAGAGTAGGAGGACAGTTGGGCAATATCAAGTTGGCACTGAGAATACTAGACGTTGAAATGTATGTTCAAGAGGATTTCGGTGTGGTGATACGACTCTTTGCATCTTGGGGCGGGAAGAACACGACCAAGTGAACGAACAAATATCCAGATTGGAGCGATGGAGGTTTTGATGCACATCTCTCGTCATGCGGTACCAAAAAATTAGTACAGACTCTGCTCACCGATTCCAATCACTGCTTTTGCATGAACATTAAAATTTTCTCATCGGTCTTGGTAGTGTAGGCAAGTAGCCATCGTTCTGGGTATCCCTAATCAATGTAACCTTTTACCTTATGGCTGGGTTTTTGCTGGCGTTCACCTGACGTAAGACTGCAGAATCCTGGTAATTGTATGAACACCGGGTAGGCAAATTGGATCGCTTTCCTCATCTCAACATAATAAACTCTTTCAAGATATGTACATGGCAAGAAATGGCGTGACTTTTTGAAAGGTTAACAAACATTTCTACGCATGCCAGCGCAGATATAATTCAAAACCACGCATGCTGCGCACATTATGCACACCGAGATTTGGAATCCTTCAGCGCCCTGTATGAGCAAGACGGCAGCAAAAGCGCCCAAGATGAAAAGATGAGGAGGCTGCAGCCATCCGCCGTCTGGAACCGCTCCCACAATGGGGAGTGAAAGAGAAAAATTATGTTGACTCGACTGAATCTCCCTCTCATTCTTCGCGGGAGTCTTAGCTGTATTACGATGGCATTGCCCGAGTGTTGTCTCAGGAATTTCATGGAAAAGGTGCGTTGGGTAGCCATTCGCACGAAGAAGAGATGGCAAGTAAGGGTGGTCAATTCATGGAGTATTGTAGGAAGCCTGCATGATAATATCGTGAGCTAGCAGCATAGGCATCGACAGCGAACGCATTCCTTGGTTATCTAGACTATGATATATGCAGCTTGGAAAAGATAAGGCTTTCTAGAAGATTGCAATTATGCAGCACTAGAGTTTCCCTAGGATAGAAATAGTCTCTACTGGATCAGAAGCCTCCAACATCGAATCTGTCGGATGCAATACAGCGTCATTGGTTCAGCAGATACCGCCACTAGAATTCAAGAGCTGTTTGATTGTTCTCGAATTGCAGATGCCGCTCGCGGTACATGGACTGATCATTTAGCACAACCTTTGTCCTGTAGGGTTAAACTCTCGAGTCTGCATCGACATGGGGATTGGACCAGTGTCAGACCTAATAGCTATCGAGTATATTACACTATCAATAATGACCTAATTGCCATTGCAGGATCTCTGCACCTCGAAGATAGGTTGTGTCAACCCACCGGTTTCCAACTAACAATCTCCAGAGAGCTTTATTCTTGGCAATTCGAAGCATACTTTAAAAAGATGACATTGTCCCACTCTGTATCAACAAGTGAGTGTTAGAGAAGAAAAAAATCAACAATTATTCCATCAAGGACAAAAATGACGAAGAATTCGTGAGCTTTCCGTCCTTGTATGGGTTCACAACTATATTGCTTGGGTACTAATTGGCATCCGACAGAAAGAAGGTCATTGCGCACAGGGCCAGTCATGTTGCCAAAAACCACAACGCAAGCACAGTTTCAAATACAGGCGACGAATCTATTGGCATCGACGGCAAGGCGCCCGCTAAGGTCCATAGCCAAGAAAACTTCTTGACCTCTCATGAGGACTCGTCCAATGTCAAACTTGCAGAAGAGAACAGTTGCTTTTCTGAGTTACATTCTGATCCGAATTTCCAGATTCCTACTTGCGATTTCTGCACTAGAGAATCGGGTATTTGTGGGTGCTGTTCGGGAGGTGGCCATGATTACGACACCTGGTCCGATAATACCGGTGGACACGGATATACTACCGATATGAATAAGCCTGGGGACAAGATACAATTGCAGCTCTGGTCCTACGAGACTTCTCAAATAACCGTCGCTGAAAGACTAGAACAGAGAAAGTGGTGTGCTCCAGGTCAGAAACTTTGAAGGACTAAATACAGTCGGCATCAAAGTTTTCAGGTATGGTAAGAGTTCCCGAGCCTTTATATTCTCAATGCATAGGCTAACACGAACATCTTGGAAAGAATTTGTATGAGTGTTGGAGTTTTGATTGGAATATAAAAGTGGCATGTTTGCTTGAGCAGACTGTGAGGTGGCGAGGAATATTGTGTGAGATGTGACATGATAGATGTCAGATGAAACTAGGAGTTTTGATTTTGAGGGAATTCTTTTGATTGTCTCTCGTATTGAAACAAAATCATGGTGGTTTGTTCTGATCTTTTGAAATTGTTGTTAATTAAAGAGAAGGTTGGGAAAGTAAATATTAGACAATCGAGAGAATCAAAAAGCACTGAAGTGGACATTTATTATTTATTGTAGCTTATCTTATCTATCCAATCAAACAACCCTGTGAGCAAAAATAGCTTAAAATGGTAAGGCTTAGGTTTGTTCGGCGCCATGTCTTGTGGCTTCTTAGCAGCGCAACGGTAACGGTAAACTTGCAGCTAGCTGCTGGCTAACAAAGCACCAACTCTAATCCATCCAACGAAAAGTATACCCAAGTATAGTTTTTGCCTCCTCCATACATCGCAATATCAAACATAACAACAAATTTGATCGCATTGCACGATTGTCATAGCAATTCTTCCCCGGTGGTACAAATATTATGTACTTCGTATCTGGTACTGCATAATTCACCTGCTTTGACCGCCTTGATCTCTGAGCTCCTTCACAGGCCTCATCGACAGTAGATAGTCCTCTGCTGGGCGAAGAGATATGGCGAAGATCATTCAGGTACAGAACCAATCAAGCTGGGATTGCATGGCGAAATGAAGCTTTTACCAACTTTCTCTCCAATGAATGCTGTTATCCATGTTTATCGAGATTCGTGATAAGTAATGGCAGTATGCAGCACCATCACACTTTACCCGATGAAGAAGGTCGGAAGATGGATAATTCCCATTGGAGTATAGAACCTGCCAATATGGCATTAGAAGATCTTGGCCAATTCGATGGCAATCAAGATATATCAATATATATGACAACGACAATGCTCTGATTCACTTTCTAATTCACTTTCTTTCCCTTGTTTCTCTCTCTCGTCTTCCCCGTTGCCTTTTGCGAGGCGATTTTCGGGCTCGTCATTTTTTGATCGTCAATCAAAATGCCTTCCTCAAACATGGCTTTCTTTCTTGCCGTTCTGGCTGGAATGCCATGCAGTATGGCAAGCAAAATGTATGGATACGGACACGGCTACAATTCAACAATTATTGGCACAGCTACTGGTACTGGCATAGCTACTGGTTCTGGTACACCTACACTCGCAGCTTGCGGGATTGTCAGTAGTCTAGCATCTGTTGCTAAAGTCGCCACCCCATCAGGTATGTGGAAATGCATGAAATTCTTAATCTCAAGAGTGAAGATATGTACCGAGTGGTCAGACTACATATTCAGAGTTCGCATCCTCGAACAAAGTCAATGTCTATTATTCAAGCTCCTATATGGATTGAGCATAATATACGACACAGCAGTGTCACACTGAATCTCGTTGATTTTAAAACTGACTGTCTTGTGCTTTAGCTACACCCACAGTTGATGCTAAATTAGCCCACGACTGTCTCAATTCAGTACCATTGAACGTCGCTGCAGCCATTGAATACGTTACAGGATTAGAGCCATATATTGAATGGCAGTCGGGTATGTGTCATCTGTCGCTCTTTACATTTGTAAAGATTCACCTCGACTAGAGGGGTCTCTAGCATTATGCCCAATTAGACTCTCCTTAATGGAAGCCCTTAAAATAGACTCTTTGACTGACTTTGGCAGATCTCGTGGATCTCAAGGACCCACCAGCAGATTACTTTTACCCTGCATATGATCCATTGGCCAAACTTGCTTCTGTGAAATCAAATCTTGAGAAGGGTGGCGTGTACGCAAATGAGTATGAATTTCAACAAGATTTGTATGAAGTCTTTACCCCGGCACACGATGGACACTTTGTAGTCTATCCAGATCTTCTCACGGCTGCTTTTGAGTGGCGCCGTCAAAGATCTTTAGTGTCTATCAGCAGTGATGGAGTCGAAGTTCCCAAAATCTATCTATATGGTGAGTTTGAGAACAATATCTAGTGTCAAAACAACAGTGCTAATCAATTATTTAGAGGATATCATTTCTGCACCCTCGGAAGCATCGGAAGTCACAGAAATAAACGGTGATGATGCGGTAAAGTATGTAGAAGACTGGATATTCCAGGCCTCTTTCAATCAAGATGCAGATTCTGCATACAATACCATGTTCTACGAGAAAGCATTTGTTGCAGGAGGTAAATATAGCCCTTCCCCTACACTATTTCAATACTTTTTGTGTGGACTATGCTAATTCTACCCACCAGGCGTTTCAAAGGGATACTTCGCATCCGGTGGTCGAATCAGATACATTTATCCAGGCTCAAATACTACCTTTGGCTTCGAAAATGGCACAACTTTGGTCACAGAGAACTATGCCAACGTGAAAGGAGACTTCACTGGTGTCACTGATGGAAAGTCGTTTTACCAAAAGTTTTGCGTGCCATCCACAACTGAATCCGCTGTAACTACTGCATCAGCGCCTGCAGCCGCTACTGTGACAGCTACTGGATATCCGACACCCGTCGTTACCACTAATGACACTATCGTCAGTGGATACTATCTAAGCGAACCAGGTTTCGAGGACGTTGCAGTCTTGAGTCTTTTGGCATTCGAATCCGATTCGATTGCAGAATTCCAAGCCGTCACTCAGACCTTCCTTGCAGACGCAGTTCGAGATGGAAAGACAAAATTGATCGTCGACTTACAAGCAAATGGAGGTGGCTACATTTTGCAAGGTTATGATGAATTCCGACAACTCTTTCCTCATATTGTTCAAGATGGGTACAGCAGAATGAGAGAGCCTGATACCTTTCTTACGATATCCAAGATATTTTCGGAAGACATTCCGGCAGACTGTAAGTGAAAAATCATCAACCTTTGGTAATCCCACATCAAAAGCTAACTTCATGCAAGACGACCCAAACACAGCGTCATCAGACTTGATCAGCGAGTATGAAACTTGGTTCAACTACCGATACGATTACAATTTGACTAATCAGCCATTCTTGACCTTCGAGGATAAGTTCGCTCCACATGTTTACAAGGGTGATAACTATACAAACCTCATGCGCTGGAACCTTGATGATCCTCTTACCACTGTGAACTCCACATATGGTTTAGGTATTGAGGTCTCCGGATATGGATCGTTAAGTAACTTGACCCAACCATTTGCCGCCGAAAATATCGTCATGATCTACGACGGCTACTGCGCCTCAACTTGTACTCTTTTCAGCGAATTCATGCGTGTTCAAGCAGGTGTCAAATCCATCGCTTTTGGCGGTCGACCTTCGAGTGGCGCCATTCAAGGTGTTGGTGGTATTAAAGGAGCACAAGTAATTTCTTTCGATAGTATATACTATTATGCACAAGCTGCCGCCTCATCTCCAAACGCAACACCTGAAGACCTCGCTATTTTAAGCCGTTTCACAACCTTCCCAATTGCAAGAAGTACCGCTACATCGGTCAATCTGAGAGATGCCATTCTCCCTGATAATGTCGACGATGGACTTCCAGCTCAATACGTAGTTGAAGAAGCAGACTGTAGATTGTACTGGACAGCACCTATGATCTCAGATGTAGAGAAGGTCTGGGAGGCTGCTGCTACAGCGGCTTGGGGAGGCGGTGCTTGCGTTGCAGGTGCTGGCTTGCCGTATGGAAAGAGAGATGTCTTGGGTAAAAACTCGAAGACTAAGGAGAAGAAGCCAGTGATTAACAGAAAGAGGGAGAGGAATACACTGAAAATGAAGAAGAGGGATGAGAATGTTGAGAAAGATCCATTGTGGAATGCTAGACATGGAAAGAAGATCATTTCGTAAGATAAGAAACGAATTCACACTTATTTGGATGGGATAAGTCAGGATACTGCAATCTTTTAGGATACTTAAAGTAATATCAATTCAGTATCGGAAATACTCGATAATACTGTGTTTCTCGATGATATGCATTGTTTTATCAGAACAACTGTGAGATTTGTGAAATGTCTTTCTGGCGCTAAACTCTCGTTTAATCTGAGGGGGAATAATTTGAATGTTCAGGCTTGATCGAAACATTCAGGCGTCCATTCTTTGAATGTCAACCGATATCTTCCGAAGGTTTTCGGACTGTACCATTTTATTTCATTTTTTGTGAACAACCTACACTGCTTCTATCAATTGAAAGAGTTTCCCCTATCTCCTGAGACGAAGTCTATACACCATTTATCTTCAGTAGAATATTTGGTGTAGGTAACCCCCTCCGATGAACCTTGCCACCTTAAGAATCAGGACTGTCATTACCTAGGTAGTACTTGTGTCCAAATCACCTATCTCACTTCCACTAACTATATTACTATTGTGAATCATATAGCTATAATAAAAGGATCATTCACTAGAGTTTCAAACTTGCTCAAGTAGGTAGTTCATGTACATCCATTTCCAGAATCTGAATAGCCCAAGCACACTTTACTTGAAGTGTTTTTCCTCAAGACATTGAGAATAATTCCAAGCGCACACAGAAGCAAGCCCATGATCCACACGAATATTTCCCAAAAATTCCAACGATACATTTCAACGTTATCCTATCTCGAAATTTAGCATAAAGCTTAGAAGTAAACCGAGAAAATGAGAAGCTGGTCTCAATCTGAAGAGCTAGTGAGAATCAAGCTAACCTTTCGCAAGATAGTAGTCCTTCTAGCTCTTTTAAACTCGACTATCTTGTCTAGATGTCCATCTTCATCCATCTCATATGTCCTCATCTCCGCGGGCTTGAATCTTCGCCAACTTGGCTGGATGGTGTGAGAAACTGTATCGATGAGATTAGTTGTTGGCTGTCCCAATCGATCAGAAACGTATCATAACTCACGCGGTAGCAAATACTCCATGAAAGATCCGTGAGAAACTACCACGATATGTACATCCTGTTTCATCTGCATTCGTGGCCCAGTATTCTGTCCAGTACCCTGTATATAAACTCCCTTCCAAAACCCACCCCCTTTTTTGATAAGCTTTGAAATGTCCATTATTTGGATACGAACAATATCCGCCCGCTGTTTCGTACGAATAGTACTTTTCATTGGTGGAGCGATAGGTGGCAGAGCAGTAAAATCTACCCCTTTGTGCTCATAATTGTTAGCTAAATCAAGAGTTGTTTGGCGAACGTTGCACAAATATGCGCCACTCTCCCTTAAATCATCATAGGCGACGATTTGAGGTTGTGGATAGATACTGCCATCATCGGCGAAAGGAAAAATGTGGAGTGTCGTCTCGAGAGTACGAATTAGAGGGGATGTGAGGACGATATTGGGGACGGGACAACATTTTGTCCTCTGCTCTCTGGTAGATTTGGCTTGTTCAATCCCTTTACGGGTAAGATAAGGATCTTTGATGTTGTAAGATCTGGGATTGATTTTTCCGTTGATGTGTCCTAGATTGTGGTATGCCTCTCCGTGTCGCACAAGATGTATGAAAGTTCTGGGTTCAGTGTCGATTTCTGTATGGCTGAAGTACTGCTTGAAAGGGAAACACAGTACCATTCTATAGTAGTGTTTGAGGCTCAGGTTGACGACTTGAGTTATATCAGAAATGGCTGAAATCTCCAAAAAAAATTGAAGGAACTATGTATCAAAGGTTAGCAAGTTGTCGCTGTTGAGATATTATATACAGTTGTCAAGATCTTGGCAGCCACTCTGAGTCATTCTCATAGGTTGAGAACATGTAGTCGAATAGATGGAAAATGAGAAGTAGACTTTGACATGATCGGTAACTTACTGGTGAGCAATGGGCAGTAGTCTATGTAGCTAGCTCCTTTTAGTTAATGGATGAAGGCTCAAATCAGCGACGGATAGGATCTCGGCTGTGGAAAGACCCAAGTGATCAAAATTGGCGGTATAGGAGCTTGTTAATGATTGAGTACTGCTGGACGCTCGTGAAAGGCCGATGCAGCCAGGCAGTGGTTGAATCGAGGCTGCAGAAGGGCCAGACGGATAGAGCTCAAGGTAGAAAGAAAGCTCGGTGAGCTAGAAATGGTGGCAGAGATCTAAATTGGATTTATCCAAGTTGCTATGATTCAAATAAGTGTCATCTAGAAGGGGGGAGAAGGTTGCCTTGAAAGATATGAGAAGAATTAAAGCAGTGATAACGTGATTTGATCTGAGACGGATCATTTGAGGTCCCGAAAGAGGTAAAAGCAATCAAGAATTATTGAGAGATAAATAGAAAAGTGAAGATTGGAAAAGAAGTGATGTAGAGCGTTTCGGTAATAGCAGTGCCTTTGAGTCGGCAGTGCTGGCAAATGGAATTGTTTAAAAGTCAGTTTTGTGAGAGTGTTTGCATGGCCTAGGTGACGGAAGGTGAATCATCATAGTAATTCACTTATTCAAGAACGAATAAATGAGGATAACAATGCCGTAGGTAATAACGTTTCATCTTCTACATGAAGTGTTGAATTAAAGCCTCTACCAAGATCGATTATGATCATACCAATTAGCAAATACATACACAAGTTCTGACACGCTAATATCAAAAACAACCAAATATATATATGGCACGCGATGCAAGAAAGAGAGAGAGGGGGGGGGAGCGAGAGAGGGAGAAAGAGGTGGAATGAACTGGATCTGTACATACGGATGAAAGGTCTATCACTGATAGCCCAATGCGTTGAAGAACTAAGAACCCAACTAGCTTCCCGGTCCATATCATCTGCTTTTACCGAGACTATACAGCTCAGCCCTACGTTCGCTTTCCTCTTATATCTCTGCTAGTTCAACCGAGGTGATTGAAATATACAACAATGCCGCTTTCACTGTTCACTTGAAATCAGAAACTGTCCATGTTCGCATTTTAAGCACCGACAAACCACCTGCTCGACAGAAAGAACTGCAAACAAGGTCAAATGGAGAAGCTCTCATTCTGTCTATATACTCCAGTCTTACTTTGAATATATATTTGATGAGTTTTCTGGCAAGAATAATACAGAAAATGCGGCGCCTCTGACCACGTTATAACAAGTCTCACGATATTCCCAGTTTCTCTTCTCGCCGTTTCTTCTATCTGAAGATATCTATTAGGTTTCCCATAAAATTCAGGAACCATTGAATCTCTCAGGGACTTCGAGTGATGACTATGGATAGAGCAATATGCAATCAGCCAAGCAACATAGTTGTGAAGCGAATCTGGAATACAAGAGACAGAAAGAAACTATCAAGCTACAACAGAAGTGACAAGCATTGAAGCCAACACCAAAGCTCAGATAGCTGCGACTCTCCGCTTTATCACCGGAAGCATCACGCTGTCAATGATGCAGAAATCTTATGAGCATCAAGAACCGAGCCAACACCATTGAAATTATCTCTGGATCGCTAGAAGTCCGGCTACTGAATAACAGCCACACTAAGCAACCCATTTCTAGAGGCCATTGCAGAGTTTATGGAAATGTCATGTTCGAGAGATTGTAAGATTCTTCACGTCCTCCACTACCTCGATTTTAAAAGTATGTCAGAGTCATCGAAGGCGTAGTTGGAAATAATGATATACCAACATGAAAGTTATAAGATAGATCAACTGAGGTTCAATCACTCCGATACCTGATGCAGTTATAAGTATGAACTGACTCACTACCGCTACATGATTATCCGTTAGTTCCATTGAAGGAGCACCAAATGCTCGACAGAGCGTCAAAGTGGGCGAGGTCGAAGAGAAGCACTTGTGTAACAGCGTGCGCAGCTGATGCTCTCCTACTTCCCTTTCTGCTTGGGATGCAATGCAATGATAGGGCATGAAAGAATAAGATAACAAAATAGGGATACAAAAATTAGACTGAGTGGAGAGATATTCAAGATCTAGTGTAAAATTTCCACCCAGTGTTATCAAAGAATGCCGGGTAAGACAAATGATTTGACCATAATAAGTTAGAGCAATCCAAATTTCAAATCATTGATGTCGAAGCCAATCCACAAAGACGAACCGATTCTTGAATTGTATCTTTATGTATAACGCTTTCCACTTAGACCTCTTCGCTGGAATTATGATTGGTTTGGAGATAGGTGGGGTTGACCATTTTTGGCGGGGAGGTTCGCCAATTTTCAGCCCGGATTTCATTTGCATGTACAACATCACCGAGTAGGATGCTGCATCCTTTCTTGCATGATATGCACGTATTCAGCTGAAGAACGTCATCACGGGTTTGTGCCCAAGTATTCTCGGCTAGTACTAACCAGGATCAACTCGCATTCATGTACTAAAATTGCTGTGGCTGGCTGATTTGATCACCGCAGAGGTCAACAATTAATTTGAGAATATTATATCAAGCGGCATCATGTTTTGCAAACTATGTTCAGCATGAAAGAAGAAACTGAGACATGCCAAAGATACAACCTAAGTGCGATCGGAAAGCATATTGCTGCAATGTCATTTTCGAAGAGACAAATTTAGACACACGCAAAACATTCTGCTGCGAACAACATTCCAATAAGGAGGGTGTTCAGGTTGCGATCAACCCAGTTTCAGGCTATCTCTAAGATAGGAAACTATTGAAAGCAGATATTTGTGATTCTTAGTGCAGCTTTGTGATTCATCAATCTAGCTGAACGGAGCCAAATCATGAAGACCCAGCTTTCGGCCTTGAATGCTGTAGTGTAAAATTCTAATTGGGAATGTGGTTATCAAAATAGAATTTGATCAGATCTCAGGTATCTAATTGGTCAAGACGAAGTCGTTTAGGGTGGGATCTGTGCATGAGCATTCCACTAAAAAGATATAAGTTCTGAATATGCACAAGGTCTTTATCATATTATAAGGACACAGTGACGGTGTATACATGGTATCGATCACTCACATCCGCCACGTATCGACCCTATCTATATTGTTCTTTACATAAGTGTTAAAGTTATCTCCAATCTTTCATAGCTTCGAAATCTAACACCATAATTTCTTTGTGTACTCTCTCAAACAAGAATGGCTATCCTACGTCAGTATCATAACCTACCGATTGAGTTCAAACGCTCAATTCCCCATCCTGTTGAAGCTTTCGAAATCGACCCTGATTTCCCATATACTTTTCGCCCAAGAATTCATGAGAATAACCAAGAAATCGAGAATACGAGCTGGGAGTGCCGTGATGATCTTAGGGAAGCTGACTGGGAAGGTTCACTTGGCGTGGGCTGCGTCAATGAAAGAAGCGGAAATTTCATGGCGACACTATTGCCTGAGGGAAAGCTAGATCGACTTATTCCAATGACTTATGTATCTGAATATGCATTCATCCATGATGGTAGGTTACTCTATGCATGGTGAATAGTTTTTAATGCAAAGATTTCATGTTGACACTGGGTTGAAAAACACTTAGAAATGGTGGATAAAAAGGTTACTCCTGAAGAGGTAAGAGGATCGACGACCCATAGTAGAGTTTAACTAAAACAAATTCACAGTTCGAAGCAGCTCATCAAACAATGCATTCGTTTATTGGCAAAGATGAGTGCGACAGAAGTAATAGTATGATGAAGAGCATAAAAGCACGAATGGCACTCCGTATATATGAAGGGAATCCTGATGGGGCATCTCGATTCTTCGAAGCCTATCAGCCATTTCTAGAGATCAAATCCCCACAAAGAGATATGAAATCGTATAAAACACTCGATTAATATCTAGTATGGCGATTTGTCGATGCTGGGGGGTGGTATGCTATCATGTTCATGCAACTATTCTGTATCAAACACTGACGATTGCAGGATCTGTAGGGAGATGCTTATATACACTGCGGACGTGAGTTTGAACGATGATGAAAAGTCGTCTTTGGAACCCGTAATTCTCCCTCTATTGAAAGCCATGGTGCTGACAAATGATTATTACTCATGGGAAAAGGAATGTGACGAATATAATCGTACCAATGGTAGTATGCCCATGGTTAATGCCATATGGCTGTTAAAACATCTTCGTGAAGTGGAAGATTCCAAAGCACGGGAGCTTTTGAGGGAAAGAATACTGGAAGATGAAATGAAATATTGCAGGCTTAGGGACGATTACATTCAAACAGAGAATCCTAGCCAAGATACAAAACGATTTCTGGGCCTTTTCGAGCTCGCGGCAGCGGGCAATCGGTTTTGGCATGCTACTTCTAAACGGTATAACGCATGGGCGCCAACTCCAGCGCCAACCCCAACTTCAGAAACAAAGATAAAGATAAAGCGCTCCGCATCTCAGATCCAAGATATCAGATCTGATGGACAGCGTGATACTAAAAGGTCTAAGGTTGAATTAGACCAGGTACTCTCAACTCTACCCTCCCCTCTCTCAAATGATTTTAACAGTTTTGTTAGCTCCCACGCGAGAATGATATATACTTTGTTGACACACCCAAAAGTTTCAAGGTCGAAACTCTGAACATAAACGGAAACTTCGACTCCTCTAGCCTCAGTCAAGGTGGTATAGATAGGGTAATTCTCAAGCTTTATATGCCCTCCCAAACACAGTACTGAGACTTTTAGATTGTCCTAGAGCCTTACAAATATATTGCATCTTTACCAGCATCGAATTCAAGGAATGCATTACTTGACGCGCTCAACTGTTGGTATCTTGTTCCACACGAGTCCTTGGAAATCATTCGGCATGTCATTGGCATCATCCATAACACATCTCTAATGTAAGACGAACGATTAGCTTGCCAACAATCAAGGCCTTCCTCCAGTTTCCATAATAATACTTCTCAGATTAGATGATATCGAAGACAACTCTCCCATACGCCGAGGATGTCCTTCGGCACACGAGGTATTTGGGACCAGCCAAGCAATCAATTCGGCAACATATCAATACGTCAAATGTCTTGAGTTTGTCATGGCTCTGAGCAAGGAATCTGTCAATTGCTTTACGCGTCAGTCACCACATCCACACCCACATTTATCTTGAGGGACCACTAATTTGGCACTTGTATAGATACTCTATCGCAATTACACATTGGACAAAGTCAGGATTTACATTGGACATTTCATTGCAAATGTCCCAGTCTGGAGGAATATTTTAAACAGACCGAAGACAGTGCGTAGAATACCTATACTCGTTTTTAAATCAAAACTGACATTACACTTTCAGAAACAGGAGGACTTTTCCGCATGGCGGCAGGTATGATGCATGCAGAAGCGACTAAGAATCGTGATGTAGACGCGGATACATTGATGAGAAAGCTGGGAAGGTATTATCAGCTTCGAGACGATTATAACGATCTTAGTACAAAGGTGAGTTTTAATTAGTCTTCTTTGAATGAGACCCGAACTCTGAAACACGTGCCTAACTTCCAACTGGCAATTATTTAGGGAGATGAAAAGAATCTGGATGCTGTCTACAATGATCTTGATCAAGGATCTTTCACCCTCCCAATCATTCATGCTCTTGGGAAAGAATCTGAGAACGGCGATACGAAATTTCTCAATATCCTAAGATCGCGAAAACGGAATGAGAGGAAAATGTCTCCAGAAATGAAGAGATTAGCAATTACAGAGATGGAAAACATGGGAAGCTTTACCTACGCAAAAGCATTGCTGAAGGACTTGCATCTGGATATTGAACACGAACTCGAAATGCTTGAGAAAAGGGCTGGGCCAGGAGAAAACTGGATTTTAAGGCTGATGTTGTATAGACTGAAAATTACATAGATTCTACTGTAGTTTAAAGTTGCTCTGATGCGTAAGATCGCAAATGGAAGGTACTAGACTTTCTTCTTTACTTTGAAAGTGTGCTACACCTCATGCTAGAGCTTCTATTTCAAGGCAAGAGGATGGGTTCATTTGAACCTAAAGAGTGCGAAGATGAGTAATGTATAACTTTCCATGAATATTTCCGTGTTTAGCACAAACAATGATGGCTTTCGAGCGATGCTTAGTTCTTATTTAGCCACTAAGCCAGACTACTAGCCTCCTAGAGCTTTGCTTGTGAGAAGTTTCTCAACGAAGCGGAAATCAAACAATTAGGCAATACGAAACACTTGAAGCGAACCCAGAAAGTAGCATGAAAACGTAAAGGAAAGCATTTCTTCAATGTACCTAACCCAAGGATAAACAACAGCTCCACATCTGGATCGCGGAATACAAGAAGACAAGCCAAATGTTATGCTTTCCGGTTTTTACCTATTGGCTATTGAGGCCAAATACTTGGAATATGAGTATCATGAGTATTCTTGAGGGGAACGATTGATTATACCGTTGCTACTAATCATACACCTGCGCATACTTTTACTGCGGGGTATCTAGAGAACATTTTTCTGCAATATAGAAGAGCAAGTAATCAACCAAAAGCTTTACTTCGACTTGGTTTCTGAACTTGGGGAATTGCAACACCTGATGCAACTTATTTTCGCGCTCTTGCGATATCAACTTGAACAAAGAACACATTCAATCGCTGCTCAAACATGTGACAAAACTTCTGGTTTGGGTGTATCACTATGACTATCTCACACCCTCGAGCATACGAGTATACACGTATTAAAGTATCACATGCATACTTCTCAATTCGAAGCCCAACCTCGAGTTTTGAAAGAGTGCATCCTCCTCCCATCATCAAATACTCCTACTTCTTAGCCTTCATCTTCGCCATCTCCAATGCCTTCTCCAGCAATCCCTCTTGCGCCGCCAACTTTGTCAAAATTGGCCTAATCACACTACCCTCACAATCTCCCCCAAGAGTTTCCACTACATCACCAATTCTTCTCTCCAATCGATCGCTCCCCTCACTTCTCTTCCTGAAGCTAATACCAGGCTTAATAGTCGCACAATTATATTGACTCTCCGCCGCTTTCAACTGACAGATTTCCTCCGTTGCGCAATCACCTGTGCAAGTTTCTACATTATACCCTCTTGTTTTGCGTGCAATATATTGATTGAAAGCAGTAGGATTATTTGCAAATACGGTGGTGAGATTGTGCCAGAAGGCTGGAGTTAGTTCTGCGGTTGCGGAAGTGAGAGGTGGGGTTACTAGAGGGCCATAGGCAGCCTTGGCAGAGTAGTAGGGTTTCCAAGTTGGAGCTGATTGCGTGGAGGAGGTGAGAGAGAAGTCCGCGATGTATGTTGTGAAGTCAAGGATACCGTATGTTACTGGATCTACGGAGTAGACGCGGAAAGCAGGATAGCCAGATGTAGGAGTCATGGAGGGGATGATGTAGGATACCTCCAGGGCATTGGCTGCAGTTTGGGCGTTGTAGTTACTGTACGTGATTTGGAATTGGTCGCGGTGAGTGTGACCTAATTCTATTAGTGGGCAAAAGATAGAGATTTAGAAAGAGCTTACCGAAGAATAGAGCAGCAATAGTAGCGGAATATCTCTGAGTGATTTGGTTGAAGTAGTTCGAGCCATCGTGAAATGCATCGTTAGAGCCCATAGGCATATGTCCAATAATATAAACTCTTTGGCCGGCAGTTTCAGCAGCCTGAAGTTCAGTGACCAACCATGCTAGTTGTCCAGAAGGATCAGTCTCTATCGTCGCTTCGTAGAGCCAAAAGTTAGATCTGTAGTAGAGATTGGTATTAATAGAGATGATCCTCAGGTTCCCTCCTGGTAGGAGCGTCGAGTATGCACCAAAGCTATCGGCTGAGGAAGCAGCAGTAGAGCCAATAAATGGTATCCAATTTGTGGATAGGGTATCATAGACCCATTGATTAGTCGTGACTCCGACTGCTTTTGGGGGGAAAGAATTGACTGGTGCCGATTCATGATTTCCGGTAGTTGCAAAAAGATTCTTTAAACCTGACATTCGGCTATAAGCATCATTTATATCCGCAATATTTCCGGTCGAATTCACAAGCCAGACAGCACCTTCAACTATGTCACCTGTGAAGAGTGTTGCTGTAGCATCTGGAGCGACCTCCTTTATAGCCGCGTACATACTCTCTTCCAAGCTTACAGGAGCATCGCAGTTGTAGTTGCCATATTCGCCTGCTGGATAGGAGTTGTTACCAGGCGCATCGGCGGATGTATATGGCCTACAACAGATAGGCTTTGTGCAATTGGTATTCGCGCCAACTTCATACTCGTGATCCACGTGAATGTCGCTGAAATGTACGATTTTCAGGGGTGTTTTGCCACTAACAGCTGGGCGCTGGGTAGCAGGCTTGGGACTTGGAAATGGTACTGTATATGGAGTAACAGCAGGAAAATCACATAGTCCAAAGAATGTGATGCAGAACAATTGTGAAGTGTGTGACCCTAAAGTCATTTTTCTCAAGTCTTGTGCAATAATTGGCCCCTCCAGGCCAATTGCACCTGCGCAAACATCTGAATCCTCGACCTGAAGATAAATCAGCAAAAATGTTCGAACAAGAACAACAAAAAGAAACAATAGGGAAACTCACGCCAGCCAGTTTACATATTTCAGTTAAGGTGTCAACAAAGATGGTATCTCCAAGAGCCGCGACGCCTTTGAGTAGCAATAGTATCGCCTGTTTTCACCCGCATTAGTTTTGATCAGTCATTGAAGAAACATCCCCAATAAAGTGCAAGCAGAGGCTTTTTCCAACCCGCCACCAAAATCGGCAAAGAGGTAAGTGTATAAACCAATGTATCAATTACTTACGTTGCATCCCGCACACGTAGTCGCTGACTCAATAGCTTCCCAAATATCGCCAATGGTGTCCTCTTTGACCAGCTCTGCAGCATTGGAGACTGAGATTATCGCTGCAAAACACAGATATATGACCGACAGAAACTTCATCTTGAGCAATTAATAGAGACGAAGAAAAGCATAGCCGTCCATTTCTTAAGCACTTGGCAGTACATTTTATACTTCAAGGGCCGGTAGGAGGTGCTACAGATGGTGGGTATCACCCAAATACATCTGGGTGAGATACGAGAAGATGTAATACACGAGATGATCTCTTGCTAATCATTGGTTCATACTGATATTATTATTAGGATTGACAGGGGTAGTGAAGGGATCCTGAGAATAAGTAGATAACCATATTACCATGTCACCTTATACATTTGCTGGAGTGTCAATGAGCAGCGCAAAGAACCAATTTTAACATGGTTATGTCAAGTACCTTCCAATAATCTACGATCTCTGCATCGGGGCTGATCGCCTGTTTGAGGTTCTACAACATGTCATAGGACCCATATACCCCACGATTGACACCTGCCCCTTGTGCGTGTTGTGGATGCCTTGCATATAACCTATAATCTGCCGCTAGTATACCGGTGCTTGGTATCACGGTGTCAAATGAGTGGACGACACAAAAAGCAACATTGACAATTTATATCGAAGGAGCTTCCTATTCAAGACGACTGAATCCACTTATAATAATGAAGTAAGAATTTAGCCTACTAGTTGAAGAAAGGGAACTTGCCCGGCTCAGGCCGGAATGCCAAAACAACCTTATCGCCCTGATCTGAAGTAACCCGAATGCACAGGCTCAAGAGAGGAAATGATAATCAATGAATTCAGTGGCAGCACCCATACTGTTATACAAGTACTACTAGCACATGCAAATCAACTTTGTCTGGTGGGTCGAGCCTAGGTTATATTTTGTATCAATTCGTGGAAATTTCGGATGTTGATTTATTTTTCTCGCTAAAGTTGTCCCTTGATTCGAGTCAGTGACTACTGTAGAGATAAAAATTGTGGAAGTCTGTGAAGCGTTCATGATCTGGTTGTATGACATGAATCTGTTCTATGCACCAACGGCGACTAGGTTGTACAAGCCCTATTGTGGACAGTCACGGATTCTGATAATGGGTAGAACCTTGCAGAATGGCCCACGGAACTGTAATTCCTCGATGTTGTTGAATAGCAAAGCAAAGCACAGCAATGTCGGCTATGGCTACCTCATAGCTCAACTGAACATTTATATCTGCGAGGGAGTTGTGATTTATCTTTCACCCTCCAAGAAACAAAACCTAGCTCATGCCGTGATGAATTAGGGCATGATAATTAGATAGTTAGACAAAGTATCGATACATACTATTGTGATGGGATGTCATAACGCTTGCGCAGCAGGAAGTTTGGTGTCAATGAAGATTCCGATCAATGAAGATTCCGATCAATGAATGAGTGAAAGACTTTAGGGAAGTAAATCCTTTATAAGTGAAAAGACCATTCTAGTAGAATTTAACAACTTTCAGACACGTTATCATTCTTTTGTTTTTGATGTTGAATTTGTGAAAAGCGTTGTCTTCAAAGAGTTGAAGAAGAAAACACAGAATTGGAGCACTATGGTACTACACCTCCTCGACCTCCTAACAGTACAGGTTTGAAAGATGGCTGAATGTGGGCCATAACAGGATTGAGTGGTTCGGGTCACCATATCTAGTTCCAAACCCCCACTCGGAACAATAGTTAATCCACTCCGACTCCCCTTACACCGCCAACACCTTTTACTTGTCGGTGAGGGATTAAACTGGCATTACTCGAATCCTCAACTCTTCAACTCTTGTTGATTATTCTTGAAATAAGTCAATCAAGTATCCAAACAAAAGAATTAACGTGATTAATACGGCAAGATGGGTCGCAAACCTAACCGTAAGTTCTTCCCGTTGGAATTTTCTCGATAGCTTCAATCTGAAGCTCTCAAAAACTCGAGTCATCCCCCACCGATCTTTCATCTTCCAAACAAGAATGTTTACTGACCACGAATATCAACAGCGTTGATTCTTCAGTACTTCGAAAGAGGTGCAAAGTTAAATGATTCGAGCAATCGCTACCACCACACTTGCAGAGCTTGCTCAGAGAAATTTCCTAAAGGAAGACTCGACACTTTGACAAGTCATATCTGCAGGAAGTGCCCCGCGTTGGATCGCGCTACGAAACAGCGGCTTGTTCTTGAATTCAACAATCTCCCCGAGATTGCAGATAGAACGAATAATCAGCATATGAATATCCAGACTGCAAATAATCAACAGACAACTGCCATCCGTGGAAGACCATTTCAAGGAATGACTCCGCTTGAAACTTTGGCCGAAGTCTCCAGGGACATGGCTGAGTCGGAGCACCGCAATCATCGGCCTGGCAATGGAAGTCCTCTGGGTGAGAATCAAGCAACAATTTCTCGTGGAGATAACCTTGAGTTACAAGAACAATATACTCTTGACAATCCACCTATGAGTTACGAGTCTCGCACCCAGCGCGAGAAAAAGGGTCAGTGCAAGCAATTTTTCTATTGCCTGACTGATACTAACCTCTTCCAGGCATCAATCCAAAAGGCCACGCCAATGAACATGGTCTTGGTCGCTCTCAATCTGCGTCCCCAAATTTAATGGCTGCTACAGCAGCAGCAGCAACTAGATTCATCCCATCCATGGTGGATCCTCAATTGTTGAGCGAAGATGCAGTCGCCCAAGACAAATTGTCAGAAGACAAGTTGACTCGACAACTTGTTGAAGCAAATGCCATGAGCGATAGTTTGTTCAATGGAAGCTCTGACAACCAACAGCATTCTTGGGGTATGATGGACGTTCCTATGCCAGCAAGTCAAGTCGCAGCACTTCAAGTTCAAGATCAAATGGCCCATATGAGTCAAATGACTTATCCAGAACACAACCCCACCGAGCATACATTCGAAAATGGTCAGCCACAAGCACAAAGCCCAAAAACCCACACTCGAATTGCTATGAATCCAATGACTACCGAATTTAGCGCCGAGTATGGCAATGGGCAAAAGGCGACCAAACCCAAAGTTCGAGGAAAGTTCAATGAAGGCCGCAGAAAGGAGGTTTCGGATATCAGGAAGATTGGCTCTTGTCTTCGCTGCAGAATGTTGAAGAAACCATGTACTGCAGGAGACCCGTGTGATACTTGTAAGGGCGTCGAGAGCGCTCGTTTGTGGAAGACACCATGCATCCGAACACGAGTTGCACACGAGCTCTGTTTGTATTCCGCGAAACTTCACGCAGTGCTTGCTCACCACCAAGTGCTTGCTGCAAAAGGTTCTGCGACTTTTCAAAGCTCGCTCTATCAAATTGAAGTTTCTCACTACCCAGGAACCACTATTTACGCGTCGTTTCCCTGCCTAGAAGCACAGGATGAGGAAACTGGACTTACGTCTTTTATCCTCGACACGGATAATGACGACCTTTCCACCAAGCTTGAAGCATATGCTAAGCGCATGATGCCAATATTCATTGAAAATGAGCCTTCTCAATTCATTCGGACAACCCTTCAAACGGCTCTGAATGTTTCAATCCAAAAGCAAGACAATTTCCTTAGCCGTGCTTTAGAATTTTGGGCAATTGTACACATATTCGTCGATTCGGAAATTAGATGGGAAATGTGTGCGAAAACTCCAGGTTTACCTGATGAAGAAGCTGGCCCGACCAAACCCATTCTTTCAACCGAGAGATCATTTGCTATTATTCACACTCAACTGAATGCTGCAGCCGAAAACAAAGCATCACAAATGTGCAAGGGCATGTTGAATGAGCTCGAGAGACGCTTACTTAACAAGTCCTCGAAGTATTCTTTCGAATTGTTCTTAGTTACAGTCATCATTCTTAACTGTGTTGAAAAATCCACCTGGCTTTTCAAATGCTGGGAGGGTGAAGATTTTCATGGACAGTGGCCACTTGACAACCCTCCTCAATCTTATGCTAACCAGGGTGATGACCTCATTACCGTTCTTCAAATGCTCTTAAGAATGAGAGATATTCCACCAAAAACATTTGTTCGACCAGACAATGGCCTTCTTGCTGTTGATGATACGTCCGATCAAGTTATTCGCGATTTCTTTGATCAGGTTCAGCTTAGTTGTAAGTTTTCTTGCTTCCGGGCATAAGCTAGCATAATTACTAACCAAATACAAACAGTCACCGATGTTCATGATAAACAAGTCCGCCACTACTTCGACCCAGCAGATTCTAGATCATTTGAGCTTCGCTACATCTCTCGTCTCCTCCTTCCTCCAGTCCCCAATTAACGAATACCCCGTCTTTATACTCGCGAGTCTTCTTTCCTTTCCGTTTCTACATCTGGTGGCTCCATATCTGCAATATATCCGGCGTTCCATGACTTCCATACAGAAAGGCGCATCACATAAAGGTTTCACATTTGTGCATTTGGGTGGACAACTTTCCCTGATTAGGAGTTGGTTAGGGTTTGTGATCAGCTGGGAGTTGGTGGTGCAAATTTGTTCAATTACCGTCTTCGATATATCCCATTTCTCATTTTATAAGCTCGACACCTGCCATAGTAGGCTGTTTGACCAGTCCTTTGAAACAGACATAGGACTCATATCAATGTACCGTAGCTGCTTTTTCCCTTTTCCTTATTTTTGCCTCTTCTAGAGATACGATATGATACGTACGAAGCGTTCTCAGCGTTACAATACTATGTTCTTGGCACCCATCTACACTTTCAGACTGAGTATGGAATCAATGTTTCCGGTTCGAGCTGTAAGTGACATTCAAGAAATGGTTGGCAATGCCCTAGCGGAAATGTATGTTAAAATGACCTCAATGAAATGAACTAGATACCAAAATTACGAGAACGAAACGTAATAATAATGTGAGATTTATTTACATATAGAATAAGAATCCGAGTCTTTGATATTCAATCTGTAAGTCAGTGTGTATCTCAAAGTCTGAATTATTTTCCTGTATAAAAATCATTTCGTGGGCAAGTAAGTAAACCCAATTCTCACAAATATACACTCCTAGCTGGGGATGGAAGATTGATACCTATTAGGTAGGTATCTCGCGTACTCACAGTCATTATATAGTGATTCAGCACCTGGTACCTGGCACTTAGTACTCATCAAACTTCAGATGATTAGAAAGCTCAAAGGTATTGTTCACACCTCCCATATCCTCACTTTCTCCACACCCATATCCATATCCATATCCAATTGTCCACCCCCTACCCAATAGATCTCCTCTTATCAACTCCATTTCCATCCTAAGATTTCTCAAATATACCTAGTATTTACATTGCATACCTACCTAGGTATCTACATTAATGTCTTGAATCCGAAGAATTCTCTAACATGTTTTCGTACCCGAGCCTGAGCTCAAGGCCTGACGTACGAGATAGCTTATGAGATACAGATTGTGATCTCACCGTAATTCATGGGTCATGTACAAATACTAATTAGACTCTCTATCAATATACCCTTCTCGTTGTCACATTTAGTCGCATGCTCACAAGGTACCTACCTCCGTCTTTCCTTACTATGTATATCACACCATACATTCTACGTGAAGTCATTTTATCATATCACACCTGGAGAAATCCTTACTTTTCTATGTTCCATATTACATCTTGCATCCACATCTAAGGCGCCTAGAGATATTACATTATACTACTTAGAAGTACTACTACACCTACGAATATGGAACATCGACAAGTCCCAATATTCAACTTTCCACATCGGGTCCTTGTACACAAGCACACTTCATCGAGTAGAACTAACCCATCAAACACAAGGGAACATGGAAACCACATATCAATTTTCCAGAAGATAAGATAAATTTTCCTCGCCTCTAATTCCAGCCCAAACCCATCTTGAGCTTTTCCATTCCTGGCCACATCTCCGTCATTTCTCCATGCTATCACATATCACATCATACAATCATCTATAATCCTCAACCCAGCGAAAAGGCCACGCAACATGCTTCTTAAATTGTCCTATTCCTTCACCTGTCCATATGACCACATAAAATGCTCCCAAAATATACTCACCAATGTTATCCCAACTCCGGTCCGAATGTGACCACTCGGAATTTTTCTCCCGAATATTTTCACAACGCTATGACTACTTCCTGGCAAGAAGAGTAAGAATTCCCACCAGTCTCTAACCTAATCGCTATGCCATTGCTACGACTGAAAATAGAGAGTCGAATACGAAAACTCTCCCTGGGTGTATAAATTCATGAATAAGAAGGGCTCTAACCACTATATTGAAACCTAGTGGCCTCAAGTCGACCCAACCCATCCCTGGGAGCAACATAACGTCTTCGATAGGTGTTTGTAAAGTCTTGCAATAAGCTGCGAACCTTTCGAACACCATCGTGACCGATACTGAGCTTTTCCCGAATGCTGTTCATTAATCGGTCGATTTCTGCTTCCCTGACGGTTCCAGCTGGCAACATGCGCAGGATGCCATCAACCCAGCTGGTAGTTTCTTGAGGGAGTATCTCAAATAAACCGAGAAGGACGCCACTGCCATCGGTAAAGCAATCTCCTGGGAAACTGATCATCATACCTTTCATAATCCCTTTCACCAACTCATTGCCATTAGCAAGAATAAGTTGCCTAACCAATTGTTGAATTTCGGGTGGATTGATGTTGGAAGCTGAACTTGAAGGATTATCACCACCATAACTGATGACATCTCGAATGTAGTGCAAAACTGCAGATAGAGGCTCGCGTTGCTCGAGATCCAAAGCAGCGATGGCAGCCCTGAATATTGGGGTAAATAAATGCGATCGAATCATCTTGTGAGGGTAGTAAAGCAAAGCATCAAGTAGAAGACGGTAAAAATCCTCGATGACGTCGGGGAGATCTTGAGGTGGGAGATCAGCCATGGCTTTCAACATCGCTGTCGACTGGGCTTCAAAGAAAGTGTAGATCGACTCTGTGGTTTGTTCATCGACATGCTCTCGGTCCTCAGAAAACTCTCGCAAGATAGCACTAGTAACCCAGAGGAAACAGCCCTGTCTTGACGCTGCAAAGCCTTCTGCAAGTTTGTTGGCCATTTGAGGAAGGAGAGGAGCCATTGATGTTCGATAAGATATGATCATATATCTCCATGTACGGCAAACTCGTTCACAAATTGGAGTGAAAGTCATGAATGAATCTAAAATAGTTGACAGGATTGGGAAGATCTCCTGGCAGTATTTTACAGCCGGATGATCTTGATTTGATTCAATCCAAGGAGTAACAATTTGTATGAATAGTGTGATCAATTGCATGTGATCTAAACTCTTGTCAGTGGGTATTTGATGGGCGCAATTGGGAGAGACATTTACCGGCCACTTTAAGCTTTGATTCTTCATCGTTAGCTTGATTTGCCAAGGCCATTAGCCTAGACATCAATGGATCGCAATATAATTTCATCAATTGATATGTTTGCGATGGCGGTTGAACAGCAACAACAGATGCAACACCTTCTGTTAACTCTTCTTGACTAACTCCAGGTAATTTGTCGAGAGTCTGATCGTAAAACTGTTGCAGCTGTACTACTTGCCCACCGAGTAAGTGTTTGCAATCACTGCAAATGAATTTCATTGCCATGGCGGCTGCTCGAACAATTTCCTTCGAGTCTGTTGTGAACGACGATACGATGTACTGGAACTGGGACTCGAGAAATTCGGGATGGTTAGAAGTCCACTCCGTGTAACGACCTAATACCATGATAGTTGCAAATCGAAGCTTTTCGTGATGAGGAATCTGGACGAGGAGAGGTATAATTTGAGGAAGTATAATGTCTTCATCTTTATCGACCAACCGCCCCATCGCGCGCATACCAAAGAGAGGTGCTTCCAGCTGTTGCCAATGCGGCACAGAGGCTGCGGTTGCCTGACTAGCATAGGAGCCCATCCACGCCTTGATAGCGTCGTAAACCTTGGTGAGGCATGGTGTAACGCCCATAATCTCACAACAGTCTTTGAGAACGTCTCCCATATGGTGACGGAACTCCCGAAACTTTTCTTCTGCATCCCTATCGCCATCAAACAAATCCGTTTCATCTGCTCCATCGGCTGTAGGAAACTCCAGATGCTTCATCATGATGTCAACGAGGCTAGAGTATACATCCACATATTGCATACGAGCTTCAATGTACATCTCAAGGATGAGATAGAGTTTGAGTTCATACCAGAAGATAAAAGTAAGAGATATGGCATCCTTATCAAAATCTCTGTGGGTACATTCTAAAATTGCTTCAACCAAAGGTCGGAAGACCTTAGGCTCACGAGCAATCAAGACAACCCATGCTTCACCAGCTTCGGCGAAAATGCGAGTAAAGCCTTTGAAGGAATCAGAATCTTCTTCTTGGGCAGCTTGCGCAATGCGAGGCTGAAGTGCTAATACACGAGGTAAAAGTATCTCGATGGTAGGCATGTACTCATCAACCTCGCGAGTCTCCTTAAATATAGCACAAAGACAATCTGTTGCTGCTTCGAAGGAACGATCGTTGTTCAGGGCATTAAATATTACCGGTAAAAGAGGAGAGTTGACTATGTCAGCAACAGGTACTTCGCGGAGCCAAGATGTGATGACTTCAAGTAATTGTGGATTTGTCGCCGCAGATTCTGTGTGGTGTTTATTAGCCTCCCGCAACTGTATCCAAAAGCGATCATCACGTACCAGACGATTGTGCATATGCAATCAGTAGTTGTACGACTTGGGCGGTGTTATCTCCCAATAATTCCTGAGTTCTCTGTTGAAGCTCATCTTCCTAATTGACGCATTAGACTTTGATATTCCCAATAACTTCTCGACCTTTCCACATCGTTTCACATGCTCCGGGAATGGTGTGTTTCGGCCCACATACTGTCAAAGTGATCTTTCGTCCTTCGGTGACTTCTTCTGGAAGAACTTTCAAGAAATCCAGAACGCAGGCGAGACTTTCTGCGGAGTTCCCTAATGTTGATACTACCATCGGCACTACATCCTTCCAAGTTGTCATCTGTATAGCTAAAATGGCCAAGCAAACACATAGTTGGATTCGGATCGGTCGTGGCCCTGTCGCAAACACTTTCAACAGCTCTAGAAGCTGATTTCTTAGCGCTGGTAGGGAATCGCTTGGTATTTGTTGAACGTCATATGTAATCTACAAGATTAGATTTCAATCTGAATAGGTGGGGTTTGTGATCATATATACCTTTCCTCTCAAAGTGGTAGCCGCAAAGAGCTTCGCATCTGGCTCAGCATTTGATGATAGGATGCCAATCGTGATCTGCCATGCCTCTGCCTACAAGAAAAGTGAGCCAGTGTCAACAACTAGTTTGGCGCAATAGTATTAAAACTGGAAAACGCAACTTACCGACTTCTGAAAACTCTCTAGGAAACTATGCGCTGCCTCCTTCTGTCCCCGCTGACCATCGCGCATAGTATTTAAGGCCGCAATAACGGGAGTGAAGGCATCTTGCGGGCCATTCCCGTTCGTGGCAACAGCGACCATTTTGATGGAGGGGTAGGTCTTGGGAGACAATAACAAATTAACGGGGTGATGTCTTCATGTACAGTTCGTAAATTTATCGGCAAAGAAATTACCAAATATAGAGAAATCTAGAAGAGAGGAATTAAGTGTATCAAGGAGATGTTATGAAATTTGTGTGGTTGTAGGGTTTCTTGGAAAGAATCAGAATGTTCTTTTGTTGTAGAAGTGATGGAGGGTTGACTTGTTCTGCCCGTCAAAGTTGTTGGTTGCCGCAGCGAAATAAAGTTTTAGTGCCGTTTTGGCAGCCTTGTGGAAAGACAAACTTAAGGTGCCTGTTAACCAACCGCGTCGAGAATTTTAAATATTTGATCAGGAGTTTAACGGATTCAAACCCAACTCTCTCATTACTCAAGCTATCTTTTGAATAACAGTCATAGTCTTTCTAGACTGTGTCCTTACGAGTAATCACTTTAATAAAAATCAACAAAACTCATCATGAATCGAGGCGGTGGAGGTGGCCGAAAGGTCCTTCTTCCCCCAATCAACTTCATTTTCAAGCTGCTCCAACAGCATACGCCTGTGTCTATTTGGTTGTACGAGCAATTGGGAATCAGAATTGAAGGAAAGATCAGGGTGCGCGCGCAGATTCCCCCCCCTTATGATAATACCTTTCTAATTGATGCTTTATTAGGGTTTCGATGAGTTCATGAACTTGGTGCTCGATGATGCAGTGGAGGTCAGGCAAGCTACAAAGGATAAAGAAGAGAGTCGCAGGGCACTGGGTGAGTTATCAGATTATGTGTATTTTAAGGAACAGTTTACTAATACGATATAGGACAAATTCTCTTGAAGGGTGATAATGTTTCGTTAATCCAGAGCGCAAGCGGATAAGAGGTTATGCGAAGGCGTACATTCAGAAAGGGTTGATATGAGAACAAAAAGTACTGTGAGACCTGGACCATGAGTTTTAGGGGAGTTCTTCGGTCATCTGGCTTTCTATCGAGTTGTTTATATTGAGGTGGATCTATTCTCTGGACACAAGACCATCTTTAATCTCACCATCTCCTAACAATAGTCCGTGGAGAAGACTATCATGCTCTCCTACTGGTACTGAGATTTCTGCTCCAGAGTTCAAGAATTGCTCCTCAAGAGCCAAACCATAGAGCAATACATTTGTTCCTGGATTCGCTGGATCTGTCATTTGTGACCCTGATTGCTGCCTGTATCGATGCAAGAAGTAGTCATAGAAACCTTTGCCATGACCAAGGCGTCGTATGAAGTTACTTTTAGGATCAATGTCAAAGGCTACCCCAGGCAACAGTATCATATCTAGACCACCTTTGCTCGAAACAGTCTTCAATACACTTTCTCGTTCATCCACAGTCTCCGCAGGGATCGTGGGGATTCCCCAACTGTCTCTTTTCAAGGCTTCAAAATCTGCAAGGCTACGAAGGTCCACCATATCCATCACGGAACGAGGTGTGTCAGGTGACTGAGAAGTGGATTTATGAAGGTAAGGTACGAAGACCTGTTTGCCGGATTCCAAAGCGTGCCTTACAATTGCATCAGTTTGCAATTCCCCAGTCGGCATAGCAAGATATATCCCTATTCGTTTGGCCTGTTGATATGGTTTGAAATTGATGAGCCTGTGAAGAACAGCCGCACCTAATCAAATTAACCAACTGGCAGTATATAAATGTGAAACCCATTTTCCAATATGAACTAGGATACTTACTTTGAGTATGTACGGACTCATTTGTAACTGTAGACAGAACCTTTTTAATCGAGAGACGGAGCTCCTTTTTGCTTGATTTCAATGCTGCTGATGAAGCCATTGTTGATAGGTATGAAGACTGCTTTTGGGCCAACCACCAATCGCTGAATTAATGCAACCTTGAAAGTCTGGAATATAATATCAGAAAAGGGCACTAGACTTATCATATCAAAGCTTATCAATTAGCCTAATAATGATGAGAAAAAAATACTTGAGCAATCAAATAGCTAGAATCCATATTTAAAATGTTGCTATTTTTAACTATTTGCAGTGGAGGCTGCTTGCGGTGGCGCTAGATGTGGCTGAATGTTTATTAGCGATGTTACGAAGTCCATCCCTAAATGGAAGTTCATGCTCGTAATTCAAAAACTTATTCCATCGACAACTACCATCCAGCAATATGGCACCACTCGTTCTGCCTTCAGTCTTAATCGCGAGCGCATATTTACTGTCAACTGTGTCTGCGGCGCCAAATGTAGATGAGCTCGTTGGAACATGGTCTACGAAGTCCGCCGCAGTGTTGACTGGCCCAGTACGTTTTTATTCTTAAATCAGGATGGCTGAATCATGAAAAATGCGATTGGCACGCGCTGACATCAAGAACTAGGGCTTTTACAATCCAGTCAATGATACGCTACTCGAACCTACTCATACTGGAATCTCATATTCTTTCACCGCCGATGGCTACTATGAAGAGGCATATTATCGAGCGATCTCAAATCGTATGTATTCCTTAACAACACCGGAGCTAAGACGATTATTGCGCGAAGGAACATAACTGATAATGCCGTAGCTGCGAAACCGAGCTGTGTATCTTCGATCATGCAATGGCAACACGGTAAATTCGTCTTAAACTCGGATGGATCTCTTAGTCTGAGTCCCTTTAGTGTGGATGGTCGTCAGTTGGAATCTGCTCCATGTACTGCCGGGACTGCAACATACACACGATACAACCAGAGCGAGACACTCCAGGTCTGTGATTGCGCTCGTCTATTATATTGGTTATCGGTATATTGGAATACAAACAAGGTCGTATTGCTAACACTCTAATTTATAGAAATACCAAGTCTACACGGATCCTTATACGAAATTAACTCGACTTGATCTTTACCAATTCGATGGAAAACCTGTAAACCCGATGTTTTTAGCCTATAGTCCCGCTCTAATGCTTCCTACTGAAACTCTCAACCCTACAACTTCAGCAACGTCAACTTCGAGCTCTAAAATGAAGCGGTGGCTGGGATACGGGGACGAACCTGAAGAGCCCACAACTTCGGAAGGCTACCTTCTTCCTCTTAACAAGAACGCCAAGCATATCAGTCGCGGTATCGAGCAACCTTCGCTTATCAATCGCATCGATCTTGACCTCGTTTGGTGGGCTGGAGTCGGATTAACCATCTTTGGAGGCGCAGCATATCTGTTATGATCATTTTGAGGCTGCACGACAGACTGTATTGTTGGATGTTTGTAAATTTGAAGGATTGGGGTTAGGAGATGAGGCATATATACCAGCGGTGTCTGCAAACCAAGCAGGGTGGAGTTTTTTGAGGGGTACCTTTTTCTGGGATATAAGAACTTTTGGGTGGGAGTGATCCTACATCCACACTCAAGCAAGGCGTTGGAATTTTTCTATTGCGCGGGTTGTAATCTTTAGAAGTCTCTTTCCTCCCGATATTCATGCTAGAAATGTCAACCGAAGTAAAAAAAAACCGAGTCTTGCGTTATATATTTCTATATTTTGATCAAGTTGACGCAGATTTTGGCAAATTTCCAATCACCTGAAGATTATATCAACCAAATTTCTTTTCGACCTTCTAACACTACCATTACTATCATTTGCACAAATTTATCTTGCGCTCTGCTTTTTATAACTTCATATCATAAAATGATCCAGCTCAGGAAGTGAAACAGCTTCCCCAGTCACCACCTGCAGTAGCAAAGCTCAAACTGTCCACAAACTTTGACAATCCGCATCTGCCCAATTCATCACCACCACAAGTTTCCAATGGCAGCACGCGATCGTTGACAATTACTCTAACTAGTTCCTCGCTCTCTCCTGCACAGGTCATCTTCTCGACATACATCCTCGCTGCAAATGGTACCGACCAACTGGCCGAATAGCCATTCGTTTGCAACACATCTTCTCTTGTAGTGTTTGATAATGCGCTTGTGGAATTATATAGACCCAGGGCGGAGAAAATTCCAGTCATGTCGTTGTCATGACTGAAATCTGCATACAATTTGATGGACTTCTCAACGGGGAATGTGGCCGGATCGTCATCTAAAGTATGGTTTGTGGAGGTATGGTCTTGGAGAGGGGAATTTGTAAGGCGAGCAATCAGCTCGTTGGTGAACCCGACACCTTGTGTTGGGCCTAATGGATTGCCCCAAGAGTATCCGTAGTATTTACCTAGGGATTGGTAGTAGTCGTAGGCTTTCCAGTCGGCAGCTGTGAAGATCTTGCAAAATGGGGAAATGATACCTGTGGGTGAGGCGACAGTATTGAAAGGGCAAAGGTCCATGAAGTATATGGTGTCAGCCATGGTAAGGTTGGCACCGGGGAGGTTTGAATTAAGACGCGAAGTGATGTTCGGGGTGAAGATTGATGCCCACTTGGCTTGAGCAGAGTCTCCGATGGTTGAGTCAGGCCCATCTTCGAAAACAGTACATAGACCATGGTCGAGAGTGTTGTTGCTTCCTTTGTTTTCACTGATAATAACGATGTTGAATGGATAGCTAGCATTCGCTGTAGATGATGAATCTGCCAACCGAGCCGAATTGAACCCTTGCGTCCAATTTTGGGCAGACTCAACAACACGGTCTTGACCCGAAGAACGAATAAAGGGAGTGATGGAGGAAGCTAAGGCCTTGTAACGATTATAGTACTTGATCCCAGAGTTGATGAGTTCCTGTTGTCCAAAGACGCTAAGCTGATCGGCCCCTAAGGTATATTTGTAATCCTTAATGAACTTATAATCTGCTCCATAGGAAGTGGTAGTATTTTGAATTCTCTCAACAAGAGCAGTGTATGTTGCGGTCTTGCCAGCTGTCGGATCTCGCGCTCCGTGACGAGATAAGATTTGAGCAAATGATATTTCACATTGATCAGGGACTACGGCACTAATCTCTGAAGGAACTGAAAAATATGGGGAATATTGGCCCCAAAAATGTGAGATCTCTGGTTGACAATAGTATCCAGCATTAATAGTATCACAAGATGAGTTGGTAGGTAGTCCAAGACCTCTATACCAATGATTAACAAGAAGATAAATAACAAGGAGAAACTTATAGATAAACTTACACTGCTGCCCAATAGACAAACCCTAAGACCATAACTGCTGCAATACCCATGTTGATGACTGTTCTCCGTGATCCCTTCTTGAATCTTCTCAGATGCTGCTCAAGACTCTCGAGAATATCATCCGACTCGGTGCGAGTAACTGGATCTGATTCCTCTCCCGACGAGGACAAAGGCTCATATTTATACCCTTCTTGTCCCGCCATAGCACGCCGTATCGCAGTGCGCTTTAACGAGCGCTTCATCTTTGCGGCTCTGTTCTCCCGTCTGGGCAAAATAAAAAATCTAGAAGCTCGAATTGGAAGATTTCATTGGCTAGAATGTCAGTTGACGAGAAGGTCCAATGTTAGCATTCGCGGCCCTTCGCCTGTACCTTGCAATTTATGAACTTCCAGCGCAAGTACGGAGGATTTGTTTCTTCAGAGCTTCCTAATTCAAGATTCAAACCGAATTCGACTGGCAAGTATCATTGATGCGTTTCACCACGTGTGGTGATCCCCAAGGATGTTGTAGTTGACCTGCATTACCGAACAAGAACCGAACGGGTTCGAGCAATTATGCGACCACGTGATTCACCAAAGATGGATGGACATCTGGAGCTGGGGTCAAAGTTGCACAGAAACTGGAGAAATGGGGGTTTAAATTGAGTGCACTCAGACGTTGCGGAACGGGTTTTCATATTGATAGGTACCTAATTGACAAATTTCGCAATACTTCAAAGACAATCACCGATTAAAAGCAAGACTTCCCCGAGTAATCTTGTGAGATTTAGTATTTTATGTACAGTCCGGGAATTTTATGCACTTGATGGTACAGTCTATACTCCCCTAAACCGGGTATCTAATGTATCTACAAACGGCTGATAATCGCTCCCGCATACTCGTGAGTCTTGGACTTTCCACCCAAGTCACCAGTCAAGGTCTTACCTTCTGCCAAAACATCGAAAATGGCAGTCTCTATTCTCTTTGCGTGGTCATTCAAACCCATGTGTCTCAACATCATGATGGAACTGAGGAGGAGAGCGGTAGGGTTGGCAAGAGCCTTGCCAGCAATATCTGGAGCAGATCCGTGGACAGCCTCGAAGATAGAGCATTCATCTCCAATGTTTCCGGAAGGAGTAAGGCCAAGACCACCAATAAGACCGGCGCACATATCTGAGAGAATATCTCCGTAAAGGTTAGGCATAACCAGAACTTTGTCGTTGTATGGAGTTGGGTCGGTAACAATCTTCAGGCAAGTATTGTCAAGTAATTCAGAGTCAAACTCAACAGCTGGGAAATCCTTGGAAACTCTGTTTGCGGTGCTCAAGAAAAGACCATCACTCATCTTCATGATGGTGGCCTTGTGAACAGCTCGAACCTTCAACTTGTTGATATCTTCGGCGTATTGGAATGCGAATCGTAGAACACGCTCACTAGCTTCCCTTGTAATAAGCTTGATGCTTTGTACAACTCCGTCTACCACAACGTGCTCAATACCAGAGTATTCTCCCTCGGTGTTCTCACGGATGAGAACGGTGTCAACGTTATCGTAAGGTGTCTTGTATCCTGCGATTGAGCGACATGGTCGGACGTTGGCGAAAAGGTTGAAAGTTCGGCGAAGAGTAAGGTTCAAAGATATATGACCTTTACCGATAGGGGTCTAATATAGATTAGTACCAGGCGCAGGTGAAAGACTACTAGCTGGGATAGACATACTGCCAAAGGACCCTTCAAAGCGACCTTGTTTCTGTTGATACTCTCGATAGTCTCTGCGGGGATAGTGGTCTTTCCGTCCCGGAGATGCGGGGTAACGTCAACCGGTTCCCACTTGATCGGTGCCTTTATTTCATGTCAGAATTGACTCGAGATCCTTCAAATTTTCTCCTTACCTTGGCGGCTGTGAAGATATCCTTCACGGATTGGAAAATCTCTGGACCGATACCATCACCCTCAATCAAACTAACTGTGTAAAGTCCCTTGTGAAATGTCAGTGTCCGTATCCCAAGAAATGTCCATAGTATACAATTGTGTCCCTTCCTTTCCGTTACAAAGTGGGCAGTATTGGAACCATTCTCTTCTGGCTGGGGAAATGCCTTACATCTGATCCCTTTTGGCCGTGGAATTGGGCAATCTTGGACTTCTCGGTAGCATATGTGCGGCGGGCCTACAATCATACATAGTAAGCATGTGGTTCGAATCTTGAATATGCAATAGCTGCATAGGAGCTAGAACTAAACATATTCTTACCTGGACAGCGGTTGGTTTCCAAGCACGCGAAGATACCTGGATGCACTGTCTTCGCGCAGGAGCGCCAAAAGATCTAATTGCTAACATACTGTCTGCCGAATGAGTTCTCGCCAAAAAATGCAAGAATGTATTGGGAGAGGAGGGGAAAAGAGAGTAAACAGGTCCAAATGAGATTAGAGAAAGAAGATTTGAAGTCGCGGCTAACTTGCGGAAAGTTGCTTTTTTCCTCAAGTAATGGGTTGCTGCTTGGATTCCGCTGTCCCACTTTCAGCCGTTTTGGCCCGGAATAATTATCGGCAATTCCCGATTTACGATTCTGTACCTAATGAGTACCTACCTTGGTATTGATACTCAAATTATTAATGAATGAATGATACACGTTCATACATTGAATTGAACGCCGTGAAGTAGAACCTCGACAAAGTATAATATATTTCATAAATCCAAGTTCAATTCGATTCAGATTTGGAATCACAAAGTGGAATATGTAGCGTTGGAATCTAATTTATGAATCAATACCTTTAAACATCTGTTGCGACAATCACGAATTAAACACGATTCAACATGACGGACTTGGAGCGGACCATTTTGGACCACTACCAACTTTCATCTCCATATCCTATAGAATGGCCGGCGGATAAAGATACAAGTGATGCTTCAGATGAGGAGGACGAAGATCCCAAGTCGAACCAAAATGGTGCAATGGCTGCAGCTGTCGCGCGCAGAAAGTCCAAATACTTCGCCCTGGAAAAAGCTAGTGACCGCAAGAGTCTCATTCCCAATGCACAGAAGTCAGGCGATGGGGTAGAGAATTTGGTTCAGAGAGACGAGCAAGATCCTCTAGGAAGCACCGATAGCGTTGTTAGAGTTCTACGGCAGCAGGGTCTACCAGTACAAGACGATATAGCATTGCGTTTGTCTATCCTTCATCTCTTTTCTACTTTCGCTGACAGTACTAGGTAACAGGTTCCTCTTGTCGTCTACAACATTCTCGCCCGCCTTATTCCTCTCCCAAGTTCATTCTACCGCCTCTACGCAAGATCTATTACGAGGTTTAGATCTACTCTCTAGATCAATTGACCAAAAGTCCGCTTCCCTTAAGGTCCTCGTCGAATCGAACTTCGAACGCTTCGTGCGTGCCAAAGCCACAATTGACAATGTATACACTGAAATGAAATATCGGGGGGCAGAACCACCCACAGCTTCTCGAGCCAGACCTCATTCCCGCCATGCCAGCAGAAGTAGTTTTCGAGCGAGTAGTGGTAATCAGACTGGAATGACAACTCCGGCACCCGTGGATGTCAGAAAGAAGAACGCATTGATGAAAGAAAGCGAATATGGCGTCCTTGGAATAAAGACTCCTCTTTTAGACGTCTCCGCAAAAGCAGAAGAGGTGTGGGGACCGGCATTAGGGGGAAGAGAGAAGGAAGATAGCCTAAAAGTAATGGCTAGCACCGTTGATCGGTACAAAGAATATTACGAAGTTAATGCTGCTATTACCGATAGTATCAAGCGTAAAGACTATGAAAGTATTGTCGAAGAATACACAAAAGCAAGACGGTTTGCGGATGATGCAAAGAAACTCACCGAAACGCTAGGAAATACACCACCGACTGATCCTCAGATACACCAGATTCTTCTGGCTGCTCGCGTATGGCATGATGTCGAACAGCAGATTGAGGATTTTAAACGTGATGTATGGAAGAAATTATCACTGGCACAAGGTTCAGCTAGAACAGACGGGATTTTCGGCGCTCAACAGGATCAACACATGGAACTTATTGGAATATTACTCGAATTGGGAGTAACAGATAATCCTATCTGGGTTTGGTTACTGAGTCGGTTCGATCACCTCAAGGTCAAAATACAGACAACTTCAGATCGTTCCAAGGTCGAGATTGAAATTCTACGGCGACGACTAGCTAGTGCTGACAAGCCTACACCTCAAGTTATTGCTACTCATCTACGGTCGCTTGGACGTCAAATAGTAGACAACAAACAAGTCTCAGTCGATTCTCCAGACATCATTGAGCTATGGGAAAAATTGAACTCGTTTCTCCATAGCATGTTTTCTGCGCAAGGAATCCTTGGCGAAGTGACAGAATTCTGGCAAACTGTTCAGAGTTTTATCGATGGCAGAGCACAGAAAGCTTTACCAGTAGGTATTAATGGGAAGTCTCGAGAGCATCATCGACTCTCTGATGAAAACATTGTTGAGTTGCAACAAGGAACAGTCGAGTTAGTAGATATGCTCCGGGAAAGTATATACGAGTTGTTTGTTGATCCTCCAATTGAGGATATCTCAGCATTGTTTTCGCCTCTACCGCCCACCCCACGCACACCAAGAACGGCTGATTCGTTGACCCCGTCTGCCCTTCGAGGTTCTCGATTCACATTCGATCCAAACAATCTACCACCTCCATCCCCTCGACGAGGTGAAGCATGGGAAAAATTTGCCTTCTGGCCACCATGGTCAAATTCAGCTAGCGGAGTCCATTATTTGGCCAAATTCCTTGCGCTTGTAGGTTCCGGTGCAAGTGAAATGTCAGGAGTTTCACCTGTCATCAATGGAGATGGTTCAGCTTTGGAAAGATTAAAAGCTCTTGTTGGAGGTGCCCGTGAGAGATGCGTGACTGCAATACTCGCAGCATGGAATAAAGATGCCGAAAACATCAAAGTTTTGGAAGATTGGAGGCGTTCTCCAGATAAACGAGACCTAACCAGAATGCCAGCCAATTTTAGTGCTTTTGAGAGCGCAATCCTATCAGGCATGCAAAAAATTCTTTACATTTCCGATGCATCAATCAAGCAAGGCTCGGCTGAAATTGTTCTACCTCCGCCAGCCAAACTCTTGCAAATGGTTCGCAGTCAGTTCGTGACAACCCTCTATAAGGCATTGAGTGGAATGGTCGAGAACGCAGAAAGATCAGTCAAGAAACCCGAAGATGACTGGACCGCCGATACCGATGGCTTGGCGACTCCTGTGGCGATGGTTGTTGCTACAAGCATGGGTGCTGGAACTGTCGATGCTAGCGATCGCGTAAGTCGAATATTCTATATCTTTTTGAAAATATATTAACTCTTGTAGAATGTTCGAATGCTATTAACTCTAAGCAATCTTCAAGCACTGCGTGTTGATGTCGTTCCAAATCTTACAACGCAGTTTGAGAATGCTTTCTCGGTCAAACTTACAGAGGAAGCTAAGACAATAAGAGACGTCCTAGGGCAAATTGACGCTCGTCTTTTCCAATCGTATACTAAGCCTACTGTTGAGACTCTCCGCGATATTGTGCGTCGTGGAGTTCTGGCACCGGATTGGGCACCAACCGAACAACCAAAAGAAGTTCGTCCTTACGTATACGAGGCTCTACTTTGTCTCGTTATCGTCCATACCCAAGTATCTACTACCGCCTCTTCCCTCACCGGCCAAGTTCTCTCTTATCTCCTAGAGCAAGTATCCCTGGAGTTTTTAGAGGCCTTCAAACAACGTCAGCGATTTCCTCTCAATTCTCTTATGCAAGCTACTCTTGATATTGAATTTGTCGCACAGACTATGAATCAATATACAACAGAGCGAGCAACAGAGACATCAAGCCAGATCTATCAGGAGTTGGATAAAGGAACAGATGGTGAAGCGAGAGCCAGGTTGCAAAAAATACTGCCGGGCATGAGAGTAGATTTGAAGAGATTAAGGGAGGCGAGTAAGAGTGAATTTGCTTGCTTCAAGAAGGCTAGGGGTGGAAATAAAGCAGATAGAACTGCCAGTTCTAGTGCGCAAAGTGTGACTTAGAGACAGGAAGATGAATGAGAAAGTAAATTCTTCCAATATTGCTCCATCGTGATAGCAACACATGGACCTCAATCGAAAACTTTAATCGGTGGCGAAGAAAATCCGAATTTCACAAGAATTAGAGAATCATCGTTATGTTTGCGAAGTTCCTGGGTATCTCAAAAGCATTGCAGAATCATCCTGAATCACCTTTTGTTTTTCTGACGATTCGGAAATCTTGTAATATTTCGATTGTTTGGATACATCACAGAGTTTATGTGCTCATTTGCCAGTACGCACGTATGTATGTTGAATATCGTAAGAGATGTTAGATCGACTACCTAGGCCGTAAATTCATACTATTTAGAATATACCGCATACCTTATCTCACCTTAATTAAAATTTAAAAACGTTAAATACCGCCTTTCCTTAATTTGTCGCTTGGACTAGGAACTCTCCCTCACTCTGCCCGTTGACTTTTCAACATCCCCCGTATTCGGTGTCCAAAGATCCAAAAGCTTCTTGACTACATCATCGCCTCTTTTCAAAATTATCGGAATCTTAATGACATCTTCTTCATCGTCGCTATCATCCGAGATTTCGCTATTAGAATAACGTCGGCCCATACGTCTATCATTGCGACGTGTTCTTCTCACACGTCTGATTCTGCTATCGTAAGTAGTATCACTATCACTCCCTGAGCTACCGGGATCATCGGGACCGCTCATACTTATATCTCTAGCTCTCCCATTGCCTCTTGGTCGTGGTCTGAAGCGATCAATGAAGACTGGAGGTGCTACAGGCTGTGGCGGTGGAGGTGGTGGAGGCGGTCCAGGCATTGGTGGCGGTAATCCGACTGGTGGACCTGGTCGTGGAAGAAGGCCATTATTGAAACCTGGGCGTGGTGGTCCTCTTACAAGCAGATTATAAACCTCAGAGGGTTTATACTCTCTTTTCAGAGATCTTCGAGCGATCAAATGCATCATCGTTGCAGTTTGGGCTGCATGGCCACGCGTAGCGAGATCCACTTCGCCCATGCTATTGTGAAGAGTTAGTTCCACCCAGCACCATTCAAACCTGTGGTCTCGTTCTTTTATTTGAAGATCTTCCAAGATCTGGGTCATGTGAATAGCTTGTTGATCCGTGAGACGGACTTGAGAATTGATAACGGAGCTCCCACGTTGATTGAATGAATCCACGCGAGCGATTATGTCGGCAAGTGTGTTATACTCTTGGGTAATAATTATCTTGGACCATGTGCGAAGCAGACTGGGTCCGTCAGGCTCGGCTTGTCGAAGCGTGTACTCAGCGTATGTTGTGAAAGCAACCATTATTTCAGCATCGCTGTAGATGTAGGCTTGGGTTGAATTGAAGTGTGATCTAGGTGCTGGAGGTGGAGGCGGAGGTGGAGGACTACCAAGGCCTCTGGGAGCTATCATTGGAGGAGGTCTTATTGTTGGGAGCATAGCAGGAGGCGGAGGCAGAGGCGAATATAGCATACCTCTGGGAGGAGGGGGAGGGGGACCTGATAGCACTCCAGGAGGTGATGAACTTGGTTGAGGAAACCCTGGAGGTGTAGGAGGCACAGGAAAGCGCTGTGCAGAAGTTCCCACAGTTCCACGAGGTATTGGACTTATTTGTTTGCCATCATCCAGGTGCTCTTGAACAATGGCTAGTATTATTCGGTCGCTTGAATGCTGTGATAAGAGAGGAGTGACAGACTTATTGGCAATGAGACGCATCCATACATTGTTGTTATTCTCCTGTAAAACCTTAAGCACCACTACCTCTCGACGCAACTTTGTCTGCACACAAGGGCACAGAGCAACATCAAGTGTATTGTGTTCAACTTTCGTCAAATTTCTGAACGTCTCAAGCCAGCTGTTGTCATTCAATTGGCTTAGAATCGTACGCATGTGCGTAGCTTCCAAGCTGTGAAAGGTTGAGTGAGGGATTTGCCTAACATCATAACCTTGAATGAGAAAAGCTACGAGTACGCTTGAAGTACTTTCCAAGATTTTCTTCATCTCAGCAGCAAGAGACTCCTTGCTTCGAAAGAGGCTTTTGATCTTGAAGCTAAGACGGTTGTGGGGAGAATTGAAGAGTTGGCCTTCCGGTGCTTGGGGCCTGTCATCATCAGTACTAGGAAAGTTGCAGTGATCAATTCTTCGTAGAACTCACTCCGCGTTTCTTTTAACTACTTGCTCCTCTTCCTTCTTTTTTACTGTATCTGTCATGTTATTCTCGCCTTTGTTATCCGGTAATATTCGTGGAGATTTTGGGGGATGTATTAATGGCAATGCTTGCTTCGATGGCTGCGAAGTGGAACCTCTATGGCTCTCGTATGAGGGGGGGTTGGTCTTAATCATATCAGCACACGTGCAAAGGTATTCTGCAGGGGCTCATATAATATGGGCTTTAAAGAAAGGGTTGAGTGTTGTGAAAAGAGGAAGAGGAAGTGGCTGGAAGCCCGGATACGTCTCGGGGAATTTACTCACATTCAGGTCAGTAAATATTGGGGAAGACGTAGAATTTGGAGTCGGTGGTCTTGGCATGACTGCCATGGCAGGGGATGGAGCGGGTGGGGCGGTTCTTACAACCCTCAATGCGGGCTGAGGAATACATCTGCCTGCGAGCGGAAATGGTGGAGGAGGCGGAGGATAGTATGTAGCGGAATTCGGGTTTGGTCTTCTCCTAGAAATAACCGAACTAGGATCACTATCACTATCCGACCCACTCAGCGTATACGCAGAGCTACTGCTGGAACGAAAGTTTCGACGCCGACTTGGTGAAGATCTACAAACTAGATCGAAGGTGTGGTTGATACGTTCGTGATAGAGGACGATCTTTTCGATATCGACTTTTCTAGAAGATCTATATTTGGTAAGTGGTTGTTTGTCGATGGAATATTTTAAACTCACCGATCTCCTAAAAGCGAGCCGACGGTAACAACTTGGTATACCAAGAGAAGATGCAATTGGATCTTTCTGAACCGCTGTAGGTAGACGTGGGTATCGTTGTCTACACGATGCCACACTGCAGTCTCGAGGTCAATCAAGAACTTCTCCTCGTCAAGCTTCAATTGCATTGACACCACAGGCGCAATGATATTCTCTTTGGTTTTCTTCGCTGTTTTTCGGGTCTTCTTTCGTTCCACCTTCTGAGCAGCTTTTGTAGCTGTAGGAACAATCTTACCCAAGACCTTCGCGCACTCTTCTACCAGCCAATTCACGAATTGAAGGCTATCGTCGCTGAAGACGTGATTCTGGGTTTTACCCGCGTCTTCTCGTTTCAGAAGGCCAAGCACTTCGTTTAGAGTACCAATGGTGGAACTGAGAAGGCTAATATGTTCTTCAACAACACTAGGTATAAGGTACTCATTCTCCGTAGAGAGTAGTCGATATCTATGAAAAACGAAAGAAAGCCGTCCAGCATAAGCTAAGATGCTGTTTAGGTCCACTACATCTGTCGCTGCAATCTTTTCCATTCTCGTTGTATCTTCCTGCGCAGGAAATTAATGGCCTAGGTGAAATGAAGGGATTGAATGAGATCTTCGAATGGTAAGGTCGATTTGAAAACGGAATTGGAACCCCAAGGCAATCAGAGTAGATTTATACTGCCTTGTTTCCCCGCTGCAAACTTATCGAAGTGAGGCTGACCGGCCGCATATGCTTTATTGGATGAAATGGAAAAAAATGTTATACCAAGCCACAATTCGACTGAAATATGGTCATGCAGAGAATCTGCATCTTTTTTGATTGTAGGTAAAGTGTTTTGCGTTGCACGATTATCAATTCAAAACTCACCGACTGGACTCTGCGTAATCGGTGATGGCCATCTAAAAAGCCATCTGCGGATTTAGAGAATAATCATCTTGTCCGTAACAGTTTTCGAGCCATCTTATGGAAGTAAGTACAAACGCAATACATCAATATAGCTCTTTCTAGGATTGACTTGTTTCTGACCCGAGAATTTGGGGTCGAAATGTAAATCCTAGAAGAAAAGCTGGACGTTGTCTGTCACAGATGTCTAAATGGAGACTAATGACCATAGATATATGCCAGCATCCGCAGACCGATCAGCTTACCAAAGTTTCCCTCACAAACAGGGCGATTCGTGTTACATTTCACCACATGGCGAAAAGAATCGACCAATGCCGACATTGTAAATATGGCGTCATGAATGGATGGGTTGACACCGTGTTTATATTTCTCTACACCACTTAAGCATGACCCCAGTCAAACCCTCCACACTACCGGGAATTTCCTCCAATGCAATATCTACTTTCCACATACGACCTGCAATTCCACCCACTTGTGCCGCACCGATAGCTGCAGATATAAGTAAATCATAATCTACCAATCTTTCCCAAGCCCCCAAAGCGACATCTCTCCCCCATACTTTAGCACTACCTCCCAAAGCTGTAACTCCCGTGCTTGATGTCTGTATCTTATGCCTTGATGTCAAGGAGCTATACTCGTCGTAAGCCATTGCGAAATTGCAAGTATCTGTGTCTAGGATAATGTCAAGTCGTGCGGCAGCTATCAGCATAGCGAGTTCCAACTCGGATAAACCCTGAAGGATGTGGAGTTTAGAGTCCGGAGCTGACAGTGCCATATTAGCCATATTAAATGATTGGCCACGCAATGGGAAGTTCTGCATTGAAAGACTTGATATGGGAAGAATCGAGGAGGTAAAAAATGCGGGCACCGATTTAGAGCGGTAAAAATTTGATTGAATATGATGCTTGAAACTTTTGTCGTTATTGTATAGTTTCTGGTTGCAGCATTAGTTATATGAATGTGATAGAAAACATAAGACCTTACCTCAATCATGTTCTGCCAAAATGATAGGAACTCTTTCTGTCCAGGCGTCGAGATATCAAAGCTCTCATCATCGTAATCATCGCTGTCAACAATGAGGCCCTGTTTACATACTTCCCAGAATGCTGGAAGACTTCTAGGTAATGATAAATGAACATATCGGTGACTAAACCGACTTTTGACTCTCTTTTCTAGACTCTCGACTACATCCACACGGGTGGTCAGACCAAGTACAGCAATAGGCGCTTTCCTGGCCTGTGCTATGTCGAATAAATTATATAGTAAAGTTTGTCGAGAATGTGTCGTGAATAGGTCAAATTCGTCTAGTACAAAGATAACAGATTTAGCAGCATGGTCTGTCTCGATTTCTGATATCTCCGATGGATGGGAGAGTAAAGCCAGAAGAGAGGCCAATGTATCGGCATAATTATTAATCTGTATGAAATGTTAAGGCAGGCATGATATTAAAACACACAGATCTTTACCTTGCCATTAGAGTCATCTTCAACTTCCATTTCCCTGCCCAACTGTCTCCATATCTCGCGCAACGCTAGCCGATCGTCAGTATGGATGAATCCATTAAGTCTAACGACATGGAATTTCTGTCTATGGTCTTTTCCAAGATCTGAAATTACGGTTTCAACCAGCTGCACAGGAATTAGCTTAACTCTTAAGAATATCGGTATGAATCTTACGGTAGTCTTTCCAGAACCCCTTGCACCAATAATCAACATAGAGTTACCCTCGCCCGCCAAAACTGTCTGTTCGACGAGCTGATGTACCTTATGCATGTCATCTTCATGGCCTTGGATTTTTAGACGTTTCTCTCCGGTAAGGCGATTCAGTAATGCTCTTTGCATTGTTTTCAGATGGGTTTCAAACTCCTCGATGCCGGGAATTTCATTTGAAATTGGAACCAAGTCTGCTTCCCCATCGAGTAAATTATGATCTACATCAGAAATGCAAGTTTTACAAAGCCATTCACCCCGAGGTTTCTTGGGAATATTGCCGCAAGATTGGTGAACGGCATAATCACAATTCTCACACAGAATAATCTCGTTCGGTTTCTCTGAATCCAATCCTTCGCAAACAGCACATGATATTTCATCATCAGAGTCGCTCGCATCATAATTTTCAGCAGCTCTCGCTGCCTCTGCTGCTACTCTGGCCTTTTGACACTTCTTGCAAAACCAATCTCCTTCGGGTATTTTTGGCACACTGTAACATTTCTGATGCACAATAAGCGGGCATCCATCGCAGAATATAATTTTGTTCGGAGCTACCGAATCAGGTTTTGTACAGATCTCGCAAACAGCGCCTTCATCGTCGTCCTCATAATAACCATCATCAATCGAACGCGACGTGGATGGTATGGTCTTGCCCTGTAAACTCTTGAGGTGTGCCTCAGACTATTTTCTGGTTAGTACACATGACATTCATATCTGCAACATCGTCCGACGATAAGCAGTCTGCTTCGCAAATGATTTTACCTACCGGAATATCTTTAAAGCCCTCTAAATTATCCTTGCCGGATTCATCGAATGCAACACTCTTCCTTAGTGTTGAATTTCTAGACTTGCTAGGAGTTAGGATACCTTTTGGGATCGCGGCCGTTGAATCTGCGACACCGTCTATTATCCGCTTTGGCCGGCCACGTTTCGGTGTGCTGGATCCAAGTATTTCAGTGGTCTTTCCTCGAGCCTTTGAAACTACGTCTTTTGAATTAGAGAATCGCGTCGATTGACTCCTGGGCAATTTTGTAGACTTCTCCGCAGGTTCTATATCTTCATGACTAGCTTCAATGTCTTTATTCTGCTGGTTCTTCGTAGACTCATTTTGGATAGCTTGTCGTGATAATGCTTTCGCCTTCTCAAGATATTCTTTATTCTTAGGCGGTCGCCCACGACCACGTTTCACAGGGGGGACCACTTCCTTCGCTGTCGACTTTGCCGCCTTGGTGCTTCTCGCTACCGGTTTGGTATTTGCTTTCCCTGATGCATTTGTATTCTCTTCCTCGTCATCCGTAACCTTAAAATCGTAGATGTCCTCGCCCAATTCGTCTGCACTATCTTCAGTCTCCTTCTTAACGCTCAATCCAAGCAGTTTCTTGAACCGACCCGAGATACCACCAAGCCTGGAGGTAGGCACATCTACCTTTTGACGTTTCGCTGCAGATGTTTGCGATTTTGCAGGTAGAGGGGATAATTCGTCGGCTTCATCTGATATACGAGATCTAAGGCGTTTCCGTGTACTTGATGGTTCTGGTGGTGACATAATCAAGAAAGGGCGACTTTAGACTTTCTTTGCGTCTAGGAAATCACTCATGTCTTTGGCAGATTTAATGGAGACCAAATGGAGCGGTCGACAATTATAGAGGTTGCTTGGGAGACGCGTCGTGAATTTAAATAGCGCTAGCGGCCGCTGTACTACAGGGGCTTTCAAAGGTATTGTCGTCCTCGCCTGAAATCATTACATGAATGTGTATTTAATATATCAAGCATCGTTCAAATCATCTGACGTTCTCAAATCGTTAGAAGCATTCAAGGATTTTCACACTCAATTACTATTCGTCGCCTCTATATGTTCCTAACATACTATCTCATTTCTAAGGTGCAAGTGCGCCTGTATCAAGATCGTTCATTCGATGCAAAACCTTGAATGGGTCACCAAGTTGTGCGGTTCTAAATTTCCACTTCGCTGAGAGGATAGCACATGGACAAGAGCAAAGTGCCCAGTAGTTTGGATTGAAATTTTGGGTGTGACTTTCAATATTCAAGATGAGTTAAAAAGTTAAGACCATCTGAATGTTACTATTAAAACCAGAAGTTGAAAGGCTTAGGTTGTCGAACAGCAGTCCTTGATGTTGGAAACCCTGACTCAGATTGTAGCGCAACACTGTCTCAGTGTTGCATCATGGATGGGCAAATACTAACTTCACTTGGAAATACGAAAAAGCATCTATATAGTATGGCCAACGATTTCTCGCTGTCTTGATGTCCTTATGCAATTAACTGGTCATTAGCAGTGAGGCTGTGATCGAAGAGAATTACTGGTCGATTATCACTATCTAAAGTATTGTCCATCATATTATCTCTTTTCCTCTCGGTTGTTCCGATCAGAGACAGCGTGAATAGAGAAAGATCTCCCAATCACTGCAGCCTTGCTTATTCTTCTTCTCAAATTCCATGTCAAAGTTCTACATAGTGGCTACCTAGTACGCAAGTATCAATGATAATCCCGCACTATATGGGTACTCTGTTGTAACCGTTGAAATATTTCGTGCACTTAGATCACATGATTTGGATCTTTACAGCGATAGTCCTGGACAGTCAATTAGGATGAAAATTATTAGATTAACTTCGTTATGAACGGCTGAAAGCCATCAAAAAATTCCCCAACCAGGCATACCAGATGTCCATTCTATCTTATCATTATGGTCATCTCTCATATCCTTGCGCCATAAGACACTTCGCCGTCGACTGCCTCTATAAAATAAACAATTGCGCTGGAACAGTAGCCCTAGAATATTACCTACGACGAGTAATTGGGCAAGTCTTTCTCGTCTTCATTCATTTCCCTGATTGTAACATTGAACATATCCTTCATTTTCGCCCCGAGCTTGGTCCAAGTACACTTTCCAGGAATGCAATGACACAAGCATCCA